TGACTTGTCAAAAAGGTCTTTATTTTTCTCAGGCAGAGGCAAGGCAAGTTTATTTATATAGCACCTTTCAACACAAGGCAATTCAAAGTGCTTTACAACAATGAAAGACATTAAGAAAATGGCATTTAAAATCAGTCATTAAAAAGCAAAGATAATAAAATAAACATTAAAAGAAAAAGTACATGGATAAAAGTTACAGTGCAGTCTAAGATGTGAATAGTTCAATTAAAAGCAGCGACAAAAAGAAAAGTCTTCAGCCTGGATTTAAAAGTAGTCAGAGTTGCAGCGGACCTGCAGGTTTCTGGGAGTTTGTTCCAGATATTTGGAGCATAATAACTGAACGCTGCTTCTCCATGTTTAGTTCTGACTCTGGGGACAGAAAGCTGACCAGTCCCTGAAGACCTGAGAGATCTGGATGGTTCATAATTTAGCAGGAGGTCAGAAATGTATTTTGGGCCTAAACCATTCAGTGCTTTATAAATCAGCAGCAGTATTTTGAAATCTATTCTTTGACACACAGGAAGCCAGTGTAAAGACTTCAGAACAGGAGTGATGTGATCCACTTTCTTAGTGTTAGTGAGGACTCGAGCAGCGGCGTTCTGAATCAGCTGCAGCTTTCTAATAGATTTTTTAGTGAGACCTGTGAAGACACCATTGCAGTAGTCGAGTCTACTGAAGATAAAAGCATGGACAAGTTTTTCCAAATCCTGCTGTGACATTAGTCTTTTAATCCTAGATATGTTCTACTTTAAAAACATCATGGCAATAGACTCTACATCTTCAATAGGTATAGGTCTGTGACTGTATGCCACAAACAGGCTAGAGAAGTAAAAAAGTATTGAGATACAATAATACCACATTTACTTTACAAGTCCTCCGACAAATGCTAATTTAATGCAGAAAAATATAAAATAAAGAAAACAGTCATTTCATGTCACCTCTTAATGAGCCGTCTGCAGGACACAAAGCAGGCGCCAGGTTTCCAGTACTGTATGAGTGAGTGAGTGTGATGTCGCGAAAGCATTATGCTTTCGGATGATGCTTCATTTCTCACGTCCAAAAAGACAATCACACAAACTAATCAGAAATCACTCACTTTAAAACAAAATTAAATCTTCTTGAAATGTCTCATTAATGAGTGCAGGGACACCCCCCCCCCCCCCCCCCTCTCCTAGTCTTGTTTCCATTTATGAAAGCAGATACCTCCTGGCTAGGCGACACAAAGCCTGTTGGGCTCTCTTGAGGGCTTCAGTCAGTCAAAGGCCTTTTTCACCCAGACAACAGACAGGGCAGGAAGTATTTCTTTTGCAACAACAAAATCCCCCAAAACGTTCTCATGCTTATGAGTCCATGCAGCTGTTGACATGGGGTCAACTCTGTGATATTAAAGGTTCATGTTCCATGTCAGGTTTCAGGAGGTGATGCCTTCAGGTTCACGTGTTTATCACTGATCAAATTACCTGACTGCCTGTGTATGATTTTTCAATATTTTGGTTTTCAGGTGGCTGGAGAGAAAATGCTATGTTGATGTTGAAATCTGTACAATTTAATGTATTTTTTTTCAGTGCAGTAATTTCAGTTTATTGCACCACACTTTATTTATTCATCTCACTTGGAAATCTACCGTCATGTAGAAAATAGCCTATGCTATACCTTTACATTTTACTTCATATACATGTGCAATACTGTGCCAAGTAAGTGAAGTGGACACGGTGTAAGTAATGCAACAAATCAAGCAGGGATAATGTAAAATTGTAGAGAAGATATGATCAGTTAATTGGAAGATGTTGAAAGTGTGTTTGTGTTTGTATCCTAAAGAGCTTGAGTTTTTTTCATTTGATTATGTTTAATTTGGCATGGCCATTTGAATCCCCACAGGTTCTGTGATGTTTCCCTCGCAGTGGACCACAGAGAGGCACTGTTCCCTGTAAATACTGCACAGTTACATTTAAACCTGTGCTGAATTATTTTTAACATTAGGTTTGATTTGATGACAGCACACGTAGATAACAGCCGTCTCATTGGGTTTGGTGGTCTGTAAGTTATATATGAATTATATGTAATTGAATTGTTAAATATCTTACCAGTGGTTGTAGTTTTCGAATACTTTCATGCATCAGTTAATTAGTAGTACATCTCTGCTTGGAGTTGCGGCCCCGCCCACGCGCGCGCCCACCTTCGTATAATTTATGCTAATGAGCAGGTGCAGCGGTTCTTGAGGCGCGCGGCGGGTCGCTCGCCGATGATCCGGATGGAGCAGCGCAGGGAGCAGCGGGAGTCCAGCCGGAGGGTTTTCACCAGGTGATGCTGTCCAAACCCGACTGACTGCGGATCCGCGAAACACGAATGGATCCCTATTTAAGACGGAGCTGGAAAAGGCTTCTTCACTTATTATCTTTGTATTATATTCTAATTTATCAAGGTGAGTCACATCCTTACACGGGACTATATTCTGCTGGTTATTCTGCACATATAGTGAAGTGTGTTTTTCTCAGAGAAAGTACAATAATCAGTCCTAGATGTCCATTACATTTTTTGAAGGACTTAGAAAATTAGGACTAACAAGTCAAAATTGTTCTCTTGTCTAGATCTGATTCTATTTTTTTCATTTTATTAAAGTAATATTGACTTCCTCAGTTATATTTATTTTACTTTTTACATTTTTCACATTTGTATTTATTTTTGACTTTTTCTTTATTTCCCATGATTTCAGCGCATCTGTCCTTCGGTGTTGAGAGAGTGAACGTTTCTAACGGGAATGCATTTAATAAGTGAGTTATTTTTATAAATATATTTCAATAGCATTGTGTTGTTTTTATAATTTTTCATCATCATTTAAATCCTTCTAGGTTATTTGCATTAATACCTATATACAGTAAATAGTATTTTTGTATATAAAATGTACAGTATTCAGTTTTTTGGTATTATACTAATACATTTAAGATAATGATGTAAAAAATATGTTATAGTTTGATCTAGGGCTAAAACAGTTGGTTTATGAATCAATTAGTGCAACAACATAATATCAATAAGCATTTATTTTTGATAATCAATTAGTCATACAAGTTATTTATTATACCAAACTGAAAAGAAAACATCTTCTCTTTTGCTTATCAAAATTACATTTTGCTGTCTTTTTTGGGTTAGGTTTAGGGTTAGGGAATTTTGAATACTTTTTTATTGTTGGTTGCACAAAACATTTTGACTAAATGTGTAATCTTGTAAGCATTTTCACTATTTTTGACATGTTAAAGATCAACCAATTAATCAATGTATTGATAACAGCAATAAGAAGATTAAATGTAGCAGCCCTAATTGTGTTTTAGGTGGCCCTTTGTCACTGGAATATCATGGAGCAGGCATTGTTTGCTTGATTGATGGGTAGTTTTTTTTTTGTTTTTTGTTTTTTGTTGGTGGTTTGGTTGGTTCCTGGTTGGTGGATTTGTGGTGTCCGGGGGAAAGTGGCAACAGGAACAAAACTCTCCTTGTTCTCTCTGTCCCAGCAGCGGGAGCAGCGGGATAAAGCAGCAGAAATGGGACACCGCTTCCCAGGGAGGGCAGGTAGGCAGCCGCATTGATCATTGATGCTGATGGAGCTGCTTCAAGCGGCAAGCACACAGCCGCAGATCACCAAAAAATCTGCAAAGCTCACACCAAAACACAGAGCTGGATAAAAGAAAACTACCGTCACCTGAAGGGTTTTCTTCTAATAATGTATACACTGTGTGCCTACAAATTCAATCAAAGATTTAGATTGGGTGGATAAAAATATATAAATTAAATATACATTAAGATGTACATACATAATACAATGATAATACTATATACAGTATATATATATATGAGATGCAAATTATTATGCATGTTTTCAGAAATAATAGAATAAGTTTAGATAAAAGTGGCAGCCATTATTCTTAAGACAGTTTGACTTTAATTCCCAAATGTCAAATTCAAAACATTTGAATATTTTTGTTTGCTTTTAGTGGGGTATTTTAAATGTATGCTTTTGTTTTCATTGAAAGGTTAACACGGATCAAGTCCGAGACGAAATGCACGTTTGGTATCTTAAATGTATTTCAGCAAAGAAAAAGTAAAAATCACGCATGGGATCAGAATGAGACTATACCTAGATGACAGATATGAACTCAAAATGCACATTATCTCCAACTAATGTGCAATTCAGCATGTAGGTAAAATTGCTCAACAGGGACATTTGTTCCTCATAAACCGACATGTCAGGTAGTCCCAGCAGGGATATACAGTAGCCGGTCTCTTGTCTCACCCTTCCGCTATCAGAGCCTCGATCAGCCTGAATGTGGTTGCTCCTTTTGTCCGGATTCCCTTTGGCTTAGAGAGGCGTGAGAATCCGGTCCAAACTATAGAAGTTAGTAAAGTAACAAAGCAATTAGTAGCAAAGTTCGTAGGCCATAGGTATGGAGAGCGGATCTGTCTTGTGTAAGATCTCTGTCACGTGGCTCAACACTGCTGTATCTGTGTTCACGTTTGACCTACTCAGTATCGATATCGCTGATAGTAATCAGTGATTAATGATTCATAGTCGCCCAGCCCTCGTACAACCCCTACCCCTAACCTTTGCCATCTGTTTTGTTTGGGCTCTTTGGGGTGAAAGTCGTCGTTTGAGAGCTCAGGTATCTAGGGTGGCTCAAAATTCATTCACGACTGATAAGTTCGTGAATGAAAATGTTTTAAAAGGTTTTCAAACCAAAGTTGCGGTCATTGTTTATTTTTGTTCAAAATGTAATTGTAATAACCTCACAATTTTAAGTGCCAAAAAATACAGATATTTAGTTTCCCCCAAGAGTTTTGTTCCAAGAAAGATTTCAAAACGGAATATTTTTATTTGGTAAACTTGGGGAGAATTCATATGTAAATTCAACAGACTACCTGTCTACTTCGCCTCATATCTCGTACAACAAAGATGATCCAAAATGGGAAAAAACACTGGGGGAGGTGGTGGAGGAGAGGGTGGGGTTGTCGACATGGATGGGAAAGCTGAGTTTGAAGTCACAGAGGAGTCATTAATGATGAGACAGGTTGACAGCTCTTTTCTCTCAAGCCTCTTCTTTTCCCAGCACTGTCTGAGTTTCATCCTCACTAGTGCGGCAACCAGTACAATTCTGGGAAATTCTTCCCCAAATGAAACACAGAATTGTAAAAGATTTTGGTGTCTTACATTTTAATCAGATCGTTATAGATCCGCCCACCTAGAGATTAGCTCTTTTTTTTTTTAGATCTGCTTGATTTCATATTAAATGTATGGAATGAATTGAAAGAATCAGACTGCGTTGCATGGATTATGTTTTGGTTTGCTCAAATCAGATTCTTGCTCTCTTTGCCAAACAATGCCAAGGTCCAATATGAAAATCATCAGATTCAATATAGTTTGTTGGAAAAGGCTCTGGTAGGATAAGATACATGTATTGAATGACTGAATGCCTGCAAATAATGCAAGAAATACCTGTTTATACAATTTTTCTCCTTGAAGGACCTCCAGACAGAAGCTGCTGCATTAGAAAGCAACACGTCTGGTTCCAGTCATTCACTGGTCAGCCAGACCACTGCTTCCAACCTGACGTCCAACATGACGTCCAACCTGACGTCCAACCTGACGTCCAACCTGACGTCCTCCAGCATGGAGAGCACACCAGCCTCCTCTAGAACCCTCAGTTCAGATCAATCATCTTCAACGACAGCTCCATCTAGTCAAACACCATCTAGAACAGTATCACCCAGCCAATCCCCAGGCAGCATAGCTAAAACCAGCCGATCACCAATCACCATAAAATCAGCCAAACAATCACCAGGCAGCCCATCAGAAGCCAGCCAATCAACAACCCCCAAAACATCAGCCAGCCAATCACCAGGCAGCAAAACAGAAACAAGCCAATCATCAACCACCAGATCATCAACAAGCCAATCATCAGGCATTAGAACAAAAGCTAACCTATCACAAACCTCCAAAACATCAACCAGTCAACCACCAAGCAGCGCAACACATAGCGGCCAAGCACCAACCACCAAAACATCTGCAAGCCAATCCCACAGCAGCACAACACAAGGCAGCCAATCAACAACCACCAAAACATTGGCCAGCCAATCACCAGGCAGCACAACACAAGCCAGCCAATCATCAACAAGCAGAACATCAGCCAGACAATCACCAGGCAGCACAACACCAGGCAGTCAAACACCAACTAAAATATCACCAGCCAGCCAATCACCAACAAAGAAGGCCCCACCTAGCCAGTCTTCAACTAGCACAGCCAAATCCAGGCAATTACCAACTGTCACATTGCCAGCCAGTCAATCAACAATCAGCAATGCCCTTGCCAAAAACGTAGATGACCACTCAGCAGGCAGTACTACAAAACCTAGCCAATTTTCATCCAGTCAGACAACATTAAGCCAATCATCAACCAGCGCAAAAACATCAAACCAATCATCACTCGACTCAACATATTCTAATCAATCACCAAGCACTTTAATAGCAGCTAATACAACCTCAAACAGCTCAAACACATCACACCCCATATCGTCAAGCTTGACATCACATAGCCAATCACTGTCCAATTCATCAACATCTGACCAGTCCTTGTTCAACCCATCGCCATCAAACCAATCATCATCTGGTTTACCAGGAAACACATTCAGCAGAGATGGGCCTCAACTTAATATCTCCCTGTTAGCCAGGCAGAGGAAGGAAGCCCTGAGGTCATCGTTTCGTCGGATTGAAGGTATGTTTATAAAGGGGGATATGAAAAATTCATACTTAAAGCCATCAAGTTGTATTATTTGTTATAGTTTTAAGATGGCACAAGAAACAAATGTGAAAAGGGAAGGTTTTTATGTTTTGTGATTTGCAGCACTCAAAGAAATGAAGGCATAGCGGACTGAAAATAAAATAAACATAAAACATGAATAACACAGCTGTAAAATACATGAATAAAAGTTAAGTTTGAAGGACTTAAGTATTGAACTAAACAGTAATGGTGAATAAGTCTGACAACCCTCAGCATTGCAGGCCGGACAGATGTTCTGCCCAAAGTGTCCAATGTTTTTTAAACCCCCTGAAGCCATTTTAGAAGCTCAAAAAACAAGTGTGTCCTCTGTTTAACTTTCCCCTTACAGAATGAACAAAAGGAAAATAGCTTTTATCTAATTAATCCCCCCCTCATAACCCTCTGTATGTTACCTGGGCTTGTGGGGGACGTGGCTGGCTGAACAGACATGCTGTAAACCCACAGAGCAGATGGTGCTACTGCAGGATGTGGAGCAATCGTTTGGTGGTGCGTTCAGTGACTGGAACATTTGCTGGGGCCCCATCACTCCGTGTGAGTGCTGACAGATGGGGACTTCCTTTAAGTCGTTACCTGCAGTTACTCAAAGTTAGCTGTCTGTTGCAGTGGTTGACATCAATTGTCATGTACAGTAACAACGTAACAGTCATTTATAATCTTATTTTTTCTTTCTTATTTTTTAGCCTGAGAAGTTTTAAATGGTTAGGAGCAAGAAATCCTGCACACTGTCAGTCTTTTCTACTCTCTTTATACACTTATAATTTCAATGAAATTGGGGAAATACATTTCAGTAAAAAAGCCTGAAAATGTTAAATGATTACCCCCCCCCCCCCCACACACACACACACACACACACACACACACACACACACACACACACATTTATAGCAGGATAATTGTTTGTTTGTGTGTTTTCTCAGCAGAGCCGTGTGTGTTTCCCTGTCTAAACGGCGGACAGTGCGCTCAGTCGGAGTCATGTGACTGCAGCCTGTATCAGGCCACTGGAGACAGATGTCAGACAGGTAAACCACACACCTGATATTCTTCTTTTTAGAAAGTAAAAGTCAATTTTAAAGTTTCTCAGGGGAATAACAATCATGAGTCATTACACAATTATATATACTTTAGAATTGTGGAGTTATATTTACATTGTTACATTTAGCTTCGGTTCAGTTTTTTTTTTCAGGGCTTATTATGGGGCAGTTTTTCAAGGTTTGTTTCTTCATTTAAACTTTAAAATATAAATAACAACATTTTAGGTTTCACCCAACTAAGCAATAACACATCTTATTTCAAGCCAAAAACTACCAGTTTGGTTGAGAAGTTTGTCATACTTTAAGACAACAGTGACACAAAAGGCATAATAAATACACATTTGTATATTTACATTTAGAGTTTTCAAGTCTCTATAACCCCTGTGCCTCTCAGAAACAAAATAATAATAATAATACATTTTATCTGAAGGCTTAACCTTCACCTTACAAACAATAAAGTAACCTAAAAAAGGGTAAAAACAGTAGAACCAGACAAAAACACAAAGAGGTTAAACATAAAAGAGGCAAACAATGAAGCATTAAGAATGATACAGTATGTCATGAAGAATATGAAACTCAAGAAGAACTACTTTGCTACGTGAAATTTATTTTGTATGAAGTAATTGACCATCTTTCTTTAGACTGAACTTCAGCGATGGCAAATCCTTTCATACTCTTTCCTTTTTTAACAGTTCCAAATCCTGGCTTTGAGAGGGAGATGACGTGTCGGACTTGGGGTCAGTACAACTTCGAGACCTTTGACGGCCTCTACTACTACTTCCCCGGTCGCTGCACATACACCCTGCTGAAGGACTGTGAGGAAACCACTCAGGCCAGCATCGTCGTTCAGGTCAGTTCAAACTCAAATAAATCCTCAGAATAGAAGCTGCCCAGACTGCTTTGGTTTGACTCCTTCTTCCAGTTGAGGAAAGTTTGTGCTCGAGGCATATGGCTCTAAAACACTCTCCTCTCTGACTTCTGCAGGGTTCATTCTCAGCCTGAGGGAAAGATTTGCTCTGAAGATTAGCAAAAGCTATCTGGTTATTAGATTCAATTACCATTAAATACTGCAATTACCCACCATGCCTTGAAAGCATCTGCAACAGACCGGGACTTTGTTCCCCTGAAAAGGCTGCAGATACTGTATCTGTGTATTGGAAACCAACCCAAACAGGGAACATGAAAAGATATGCATTATGAATATTGATTGTCCATTAATTCTGGTATTAATGATAAGGAGCACCTCATAAACAAAAGAAAGTAAAAAGTTGCGATTCTCCAAATCTGCCAGGCAGACAGTGTTAAAAGGAGTTGAGATGATATTTTCCTTTGTAGTAGCCAGAGCCACACTTTGCTGGGGAATGTGTGCTACTTAAGTTCAAGTTTCAGCGTTTAGACCGGTCATTCAGGGAGAGCTGCGGCATGATCAAAATAACAACTCTCTCAACGTCAATTTATCTGTCAAAAAAGAAAAAATATTTTTAAATCAAAGAAGTAGAGAAAAAGCAGGCTAAGTAGAGACTTTTAAAGTAGACGTTTGCTGTCAACAAAAATATCTCGAAATGATCAAAATCAACAGTGCGTAATTATGTCCCTTAATAATTTGGCTCTCAGCCCCCCTTGGTTCCTACTGAAGAAAACTGTCATAATTAATTACAAATACAGAGTTTATTTTTTACTAAAACAGCTGCTCACTGTATTGTTTAGCAAGCATTACTAAAACAGGATGACATATTTTGAGGACTATTTTCAGCAGCGGACTAATCCAGATTTGGATAAGGACAGGTTGTTAGTAAGTGTTTGTGAGCCTCTTAATAAACAAGGGTGGATCCGATGAGTTACCTGACAGATCAAAAAACGAAATGGACATGTTTTCTTACAGCAACCTGCTGTCAAATCCCTGATGTCTGAGAGTACTTGAATTGAGCGACACGAAAGAACAGGGACTGCTTTACATCCATCATTGTGATATATCATAACTTGTTTATATCACATACTATGATGGATGTTACGCTCTCTTTACCACAAATGAAGCCTTTGCTATTTCATTTTCCTGTTGTACTAAAAATGATTCTGCCTGGATTTTAGGAAACCAATACAAAAAAATCACTGCTGTTAAATCAGAATTTGGAAATGAATGGAGGGAAAACCTCCGTATTATCTCTTAAAAGGAGGTCAATATTATTGTCATATAATTTCCATGTTGCATCTTGCTGTTCGCAGGTCCACAATGACCCGGGCTGCAGCTCTGCCCCCTACACCTGCCAACGCTCTGTCAGCCTCTTCCTCCCGTGGGAGGGTGAGGTTCGGCTGTACGCCACCAACGTGACCTACAAGGGCCAAAGGTCAGCAGTGTAGCACAAGACACAACTTAACACCTTGATATCCAAGATATATTTATTATTTCTACTGAAGTATTTCCTTTATTATATTACATTTTTAGTTTGTATAAGGCTATCCCTCCCTCACACAAATGGAATATGATTTAAAAGTGTATTTCTATATTTCATTCAAGATTAATGCTGTATATCAGTCAGTGTTAGCTCCCTATAGAAGTGAAGGTGGTACCAGGGTGTATTTACGCTCTCTGTCTTCAGTTTGCAGCTGCCTCACCACATCCACGACCTGCAGCTGGAGCAGATCTCACAGTACGTTCTGGTGACGCAGCAGCACGGCTTCACGCTGGCCTGGGAGGGTCGCAGCGGCTCCGTCTACATCAAACTCAGCCCAGAGTTTGTGGGCCGAACCTGCGGCCTGTGTGGGAACTTCAACGCAGACGTCCAGGACGACCTGAAGACGAGTTATGGTATGATCATTTTCAGTCTAGATATGAAACAGTACGTGTAAATGCTAAAATATTTTTTCTGCAAGATATAGTGACAGTAAAAGTAAAGAAAACTCAAATGTGCACAGTTCTGGAGTTTCTTCCTACTACTCTCAATGGGTATTAATTAAACGTATAGTTATTCACCAGCTTCACATTGATATCTAATCATTCAAATGCAGCAAGAGTCAGCGTGAGAGCACCACTGCTTGTTTTAAGTTCTCCTGTCACTTGCATCTACCTACATTTGGGTGGATCAGATTATTACCAGTAAGCACTTAACCACATGTATCCTGGTGTACACACATCTAGACTGATTGCAATCTGATCAATCCAACCATCTGAGGATGTGTTCAGGGACCCAGTGAATGCAACACATACAGTCCCAGTGACAGAAATTAAAATCAGGAAAGCAAACTTAAAACATGAATCATGCTTTGAAACAAGTTTTTAAATGTATTTCTGTCATTCCCAGGCGTGCTGACTCATGCAATTGAGCTGTTTGGAAACAGCTGGGTGGAGACGGAGCCCCACGAGGCTCGATGTCCCATGGTGCCCTCTGGCTTCTCTTCACCCTGTGATTCAGTGGAAGCTCATGTCCTGCTGGTATGATGCTTCCATGCTACAATGACACGTTTATGCATATATTTTTCGAGTGAAAAACTGAATGTGTTTTGTGCCTGCAGAAAGTGGAAGAGGTGTGTGCAATGCTGCTGGATCCTCCATTTCAGAGCTGCCACGACTTTGTCAGCCCTCTGTCCTACATGGCCAGCTGCTCCAACGACCTCTGCATGTGAGAACACCAGATTCCTGTTGAGATACCATTTAATTTGTCCCATGGTGGCCTAATGATCAAATGTCAGGATAGCACAGAAATTAAAGGCTTTATTGTCATATGTAGCTACAGTAGCTACAGTGTAGAAATGGCAATGAAAATCTTAAGTACAAAGCTCCTCGAACAACATTTGGAGAGGAGCTAGAGACACCATCCACTGCGCCATCTTTCTACTTAAATCGTAAACATTAATCCATTGTGGATCATTACAATCTATGTTTCATATTAATTGAGCTTAAAAAAACTGAAATCTTTACAAAGATACCCCCAGTGACCAACTTAAAAATACAATTTTCCTGCACTGGGTATTATGAATCTTTAACATCTATAGTTCAAGCTGCAGTAAAATGTAAGGTGTTGCTAGGTGTAATTCTTCTTCATCTTTTGAGATCTCTTGGATTTCTCTGTTACAGTCCAGGTCCACAAAGAATAATGTGGCCACTTTTAGTTACTCTCTTGTTTGAAATGATCTCACTAATAGCTTTCTCAGTTGTGTCTTTTGGTGGCTCAGGTCCATGAACCTGAACCTGCCGTCCTTCTGTGAGTACCATTAGCCATGATAGTCAGTCTGTTAACTTAAGTAATGTGTAACAGAGACGGGTGATAAGGACAAAACAGTTTACTGTGTTCAGACAAAAATCAGATGACTGATACAGCCATACAACAAACATACTCAGCTTTACATTTAAAGCTTATAGTTGGGAGATGTACTAATTAACTATGATGGAGACGCAGCTGCTGTGTAGTTATTTCTTAGTTTGGCATACCTGGCTCCGCTCAATGAGTCCTTCTCTGTTTGTTACTTTGTTGAAGGTCGGGTCCCAACGGGGATGTGGTATGCCAGGTGTTCAGCGAGTACGCCCGGGCCTGTGCCCACGCTGACCACCCACTGCACGACTGGAGGCAGCACATTCCTCAGTGTGGTACGTTTTTCCAGGTGTTGTAACTGTGTGCCTCTGAGCTGCACATTTCAGGTCGACTGAACAAAACACAATATTAATTTATGCTAATTTCCATCACTGCATGGTATATGGAAATATATTATAGTTACTGAAAAGAATATTACTTATCACATAACATTGCAAAGTTATTGTAGTTTTGCTGACCTTCATATTGTATTCCTGAAAGGTTGACACAGATATAGAAATGATAATTACTTGAAAATGTATTTTTTATTTGCCTTTTGTGAAAGCAGTGCAACTCTGGTGATGGGTGTTGTGTTGTGGAGATAAGGGAACTCAGTTGTATTGAGAAGATACCTTATTATATTATAATACAGTGTAAAAACGTACTTAGCTTACAAATGTTAAAGTTTAACTGACTGCTATAGGCACAGGACAATTTATAATGAAATTACCCACTACAATTATTTACATCTATCAGACACACAGACACGCCTCCCTATAAGCCACGTTAGCTTAATGTGGCTAAGGTTAGCTGCTGTAGAGTTAACTTATAGGTGTTGCTTGAAATTCAACTGAAAACAACACACATTCAACATTTCTGTTAATGTTGTGAAAATATTATGATATGTTATCTCAATGTTTTGTTTCAATATCTTTAGTAGTAACTGAAAACTCACTAAAATTATATTTCTGTATCAGCTCTCTAACGAAACCGCTAGCCTATTGTTAAGGTTAACTGCACCAGATCATTTTTCTAGTTTTTGCAAGTTTGCAAACGACAGAAAGGTTCGTGAATTTAACGTTGCATACCAGAAAAAAATGTGTCTTACTTTTAATCAAGCCAACAGATAAATGGACTTATTATGAATTAGCTATATTTGTCAATAGATATACTACAACGTCACTTGTGGCAGACGTGATATCTCTAGGCACAACAGGTGTCAATTTTCGGTCATATAATTATATTCTCAGTGTTTTCAGTAGAAAGTTTATGACATCCGTGTTGTGTTTAATTTTTTGCGACCAGCGAAGCAGTGTGCCCTTGGTCTGCAGTACAGGGAATGCATCAGCTGCTGCCCAGCGTCCTGCAACCTGGAGCGGACATGCATCGACAGCAAACTGGCCTGCCTGGATGGATGCTACTGTCCTGATGGTGATTTTCAAATCAGACTCTATTATCTGTCGTATATGCTGCAAATACACCTTTTATTACTGTTTCTGTCGTGTCTTCCAACCTTAAAATAAATCACGTTTCCTCGGCATAAATGAATAATTCATGAATTATTCTAGGGCAAAATGAAGCTTGATAATTTCTCTATGTCTGTCTACACTTTTGCCTTTCCTAGGTATGATCTTCGAAGATGGAGGCTGTGTAACGCCTTCCGACTGTCCTTGCGAGTACCACGGCATGTTTTATCCTTCTGGACAGACGCTGCAGGAGGAGTGCAACAACTGGTGAGCAGTGTTTAACTCCGGTTTTAAAGTAACAGGATAAAAACTTTGATTCACCTGTTGGAACGCTGTCCTTATATGGCACACAAATGTGTGCGAGGAGAACCAGCTTCATGTGTTTTTGGACAAAACATGAACACATGTTAGACTATGTTACATTAGATGTCATCATCATCTATTAGCAAAAACAAAAAGCAGGTTATTGTTCTGCAGATTCTATGGAGTCCTTTTAATCTTCTCAGATCTGACCACCTGGGCTCTGTGTGTCCAGTTTCTATCAGCGATCCTGCTGATTAGTATAGCCTTTCATGTTCCACCTGTTGAAGTCTCTGCTTTCTGTTTCAGCACATGTGTTGGTGGAGTGTGGAACTGCACCGACTACAGCTGCCCAGGTTTGTACCTTCCCTCTGTGGGTGGTTTAATTTGAGCTCAAACTGTGCTGCACGTCACATTCATGGGTGTGGATTGTTTTTTTATTTGGAAATACAATACTTATGGTACTGGTAAGAAGAACATACTGTGATAACAAATGTTAAAAACGATGTCTCCTATGTTCCAAAGCAACGTATTTTGACATTACCCACTGGAGCTGTATTTGAGAACGCAATGTGGGAATCATTCGGACCAGTCATCAAACAGACTTTACCCTGCCAGCTCCCTAGTACCACGTTTTTCTAATGTTCGATTGGGCCCATGTCTGAGTACAAATTCATTATTTTCCCGAGCATTCACAGCAGTGGCGGCGCTAGGGGGTGGCTACTTGGGCTCAAGCCCAGGATGTTTTCTGAAAAGCCCCGGATGTTTCACTTAAAAAAAAAAAAACGTCTCGGGAGTAATGTGCAGTACCGGAGTCCACCAGAGAGGCATCCGCTGCGGGACATAAGCCTGCGTACTGCGTAGCCTGCCCTGAAGTAGAAGTGATCCTTAATAGTGCCTAACGAGTTTTAAGCTAATAGCCTATACAGTTATGGATATTAGAAAGTTATTGTCATTGAAGCAGGCGCCACAAGCTGCAGCAGCAGCAGTATCAGCAGCTGACAACAATGTCATCACCAGCAGTGAAGAAATGGATGATGTTTCAGGTTTGTGAATCTAATGGTGATATCTGCACTCTGGCTGACTGAGTAAGAAGTGAAAAAGAGTGATGTGACGTTAATGTTATAGCTAGTAAACATGGAGTAACCACACTAAGTATACCCTTATGTTAGTATGTATACAGAACATGACTAAAAATTATCCTAAGATGTAACGTTAACCCTTCATAACTCAGTCTACTTTTAAGATACTAAAATAACGTATTCCATTTTTTATTTTGTTTTCGCGCGTGGAATTATACCGGCTCTCGTTTCAGTACACATAACAACGGAACTGACAGGCAACCCTCTGAATCAGACTCCGATTGGCTGTGACTGCATCCACTCAGTGTCCGATTCAGAAACATGACTCTTACACATTTTTTACGTCACAAACAAAAATGGTGGATGAGAATAGATCTATAAAACGATAAGCAATGCGCCAGAATCAAGGTGAGACTATCCGCATCCTTTAAAACTCTACGCACATTCGTTTCACCTTAATAAGTAAACTACTATTTGAGTGAGTTAAGGCATTAGTTTGCTTCAGTTTGTTAATGAATAAGTGTTCTCCAGTGCCTTTTGTCCGCTTTAAGGTGTTATTAAGGTAGGGTTAATGTTGCTCTCAAAGTGCACCAGATTGATGCTTCCAATTTCAATATTTAAAAAAAAATCTTCCCGGGGGAGCATGCCCCCGGACCCCCCAAGAGGAAGCGACGACCCCCCTAAAGGATGTTCGGTCCACCCCCAGGCAGGGGTAGCACTGTACCCCTGCACCCCCCCCCAACAACTCCTGGGCTAAGCCCCGGATCTCCTACAATCCTAAATCCGCCACTGATTCACAGCAAGCAAGTGAGGGTGTTGCTGTTGTTTCTATCATGGCTTGTATGAACCCTGAGGAAAATAAAAGCAGAGGAAAGTAGAAGGGCTATTTTTTAAGAAAACAGCAAGGGAAATGTCAAACTTAGTTAATGACGCAATTTTAAAATTCCTGTAGGTATGGGTCAATGCCAAAATCTAAATGCTAAATGCTAAAACTCACAGGAACAGCAACACTGTACCTGTGAGTTTTATAACAAAGTTTATCTGAATGCAGAAGTTTCCTAGTTAGTTAAGAAGGAAGAAGTTATCTCCTAAGTTTTGAAGAGAACAAAAAGTACTTGCAGATTAAGGCAAGAAAGCTCCAGGGCTCCTATTAGGTAACACAAAAGGAGAAAGCTCCCTAATTTTGGCCCAAGCTATCTATAATTTTCTGTTAAGAAAGTATTGTTTATTGAGAAAAGATAAAGGAGGTGACATCCCAGGAAAGTGTGAAGACAGGAGATTTTTAGGTAGAAAGTAAGGAAGGGGGAGGATTCCCAGCCAGGAATGAGACATCAAATCAAATCAAATCAAATCAAGTTGTATTTATATAGCACATTTATAAACGATTTTTGGTCGAGCCAAAGTGCTGTACATAAAATAAAAATAGCCTACAGCAGAGAGACTTTACAGCAAATACAACATTACATTACATTGCATTTAGCTGACGCTTTTATCCAAAGCGACTTACAATAAGTACATTCGACCAGGAAAACACAACCTTGAAGAAAACAGAATCATATAAGTACATCAGGTTACCCCCAGGTTACAACAGCACAGATTGTTCAGAATATCAGTATGAGAAAAACGACACACATCGTACAAGGAAAAACTTCCAGAGAAAACCCACAGTTTAAGGGGGAAAAATGGGAGAAACCTCAGGGAGAGCAACAGAGGAGGGATCCCTCTCCCAGGACGGACAGACGTGCAATAGATGCCGTGTGTAAATCAAAGAGATAATACATTTTACAGCATATAGACCGAATGTTAGGAAATGCATGTGTCTGTAATAAGAAGATGAATCCACGAGGATGTCAGCTACAAACCTGTGGAAGCCATCAGGGAAGCAGCATGACGAGACCCAAGGCAGGACCGCAGAGACAGGTTCAGCCACGACCAGAAGTCCACGACTTAATCCAGAACTCAGGATAGAGGATCCAAGACACAGGACTACAGCAAGAGGATCAGCCTCGACTCCGGATCCCGGCGTAGATATAGATACAAAACAAGAAAAAAGATTTGGCTGGGTTAATCGGAACAAGAGAATACACAGACACAGACAGAGAGGGAAAAGGTAATTGGATAAAAGTTATTCTTGATAACCCTCTAGAACGATCTCATGAACTTCCCCACTCAATCTATCAAGTCCCGAGCAGTTCTATTAGATATAGGATAAGAAACAGAGATAGGGAGCAGGGGACATGCAGCGAGGACGGATACAACTTATATTTTAGGGCCAAGGTAATCATTGAAAGTGTCTCTCTCTCTCTACAGGCGAATGCTCGGTGACTGGCGATATGTATTTTCAGTCCTTTGACGGGCGGATCTACACCTTCCCTGCAACATGTCAGTATGTCCTCGCCAAAAGTCGCAACTCAGGGAAGTTCACAGTCACCATCCAGAACGCCCCCTGTGGAGCTGTGAGTTGGCGTTTAATCTGCATGATGTTATCTATCCACCCTCTTGTTGAGTTCCTTTCTTTTCCTGCTTTTGAGAGAAATATCTTTACATCTCAAACTCTTCTACTTCCACAATTAGCCTCTGCAAGTGTTCACCTGTCTTGGCTTACAGGGTTTATGCAATTTGTCTGTCATGTAGATCATATCGGTATTCAAGTGCTCAATAATCCCTGCTGAGGCCAGGTCATTTTTGTTCAATGCTTAGGGAATTGAAAGCCTTCAGGAAATGTCAATCAAACCCGGGCAGATAATGAGCATGAAAAACAACAAAAGACTGGGAGCTTCTTCTCTCCTTCTTGAGCTGCTCGGCAAACGGGCAATGGAGGTGAGGAGGCGAGATATAAGATGTCCCACTCATCAGAGCAGAGGCCCGAGACCTCTAACAGCCAAGTGAACAGGATTACCTTATCTGGCCTGGCTGACAGAGCTGTGGACGGCTTTGTAGTGAGGAGGGAGGTGAAGAGAGGCACTGAAGGGGTGGGGGACTTGGACAGAGAGAAGGTTATGCGCAAAACAGGAGGTGAATGATGGGAAGAGTAAAAGGAGGAGGAGGGGGGGTGCTAAAACCTTTCGGCTATGAGGCTCTGCCACCTATGAAAGAGACGATTCATAGAGGCAGATCACTAACTGTCAGCGATGGGCAGTTTTCCTTACTTTAACAATATTGGAGCGGCAGATTAACTAATCATACTCTGTAGTACATTCCGTGACACTGGCATGTTTGAAATTCAAAATGTACAAAATGCTTACATAATATGATGCACTGTCTGATACGTGTTGAGTGTTAAGTTTGTCTTGACAAAGGAGTGTGTAACTGCGTCAATGTTTCATAGTTTTATAAACCCCTGTAGTTTTTTGGTTATGAAGCTCAAACCTGTGGATCTATTGTTCCAAATGGACTTGCAAGAAGTGTCTGCGCTACACATACACTAAGAACTATTTCAATGTAATATGCAGACTTACCACTGAAACGATATACATAGTACAGTGCATTATGTTCACTGAACACATTGTTCTAAATTACTTCATTGCCTACCTTGTCACACTACTTTTATCACTTTCATTTTGAGCTTGGCTAACAGTAATGCTCAACAAGTCCTCCAACTCATACGACCAAATATGTCGTTTGTTCAAGCGCTTAATACGTCCTATAATTACGTTTTCGCCCTCTAGTGCTCCCGTTGAATGCAACAATTAGATTAGATTTCTAGCGAGAAGTGTATATTGTACTTTTAGAATCCACGTCCAGTCGATATGTAGGATCTATAGTTTGATAGATATTACGAAGATGATTTGAGGTATGCGGCAGCCTCCATGTAAAGTTACGGGTTGAAAACAGTATTTCCGGTCTCGACGTTTTCATAATAAAACCAATGATCAAATGATTTAACAGTGATATCTGCAGTACTCATCAACTAAAAAACATCAGTTTATCCTTGTTAATTATACGACATGTATTGGTTTAAATTATGTACAATGCTTTTGTGTTTTTCCAATAGGTTTTGCTCTTTCGATTCTGAGAGACACCTTTCTTTTTTCAGAGGTTTTGATAGGCTAAAACATCGCCGCAATGCATGTCTGGATATGGTGTTTATCCGATATGAAATCGGATTATTTATTTTTTTAAATAAAATAATACTTTATTCCGAGTGTGCTTGCTTTTCTCTTTGGAAGTCATCACATAACGGCATTGTACTACACGGTTCGGCTGCATTAAATATTACATATCTGCCGTAGATATTTGTTTATAGAGCCCTGATCAGAAGACCTTTTGACAAACTGTAAGAAATGCCGCCAAAACTGAATACGTGACGTGGATCATAAATATATTAGCAATTAAACAACATCTTCCATTTATTTTCCCACAATACGTCTCCTTGCAGTATCAACACTAATTCGGCTGACTTTTATATTTGATCCAATTGGTAGATAGGTTATAATATTTACACCATAACGGTGCACAGCTGATAGAAAGGGATTTTTTTGTAGTTTTTAAAGATATTATTTACTACCTTTCCAACTCCTCATGCAGTTGACTGTTACAGATCTATACAGGTTCATGGTACAATGCATACACTTCAAATCGAGAGACTGATACTGTATTTTCCTTTACCGTTCTGTTTTAATTTCACAAAAGTTAATAGTCATATTATGTTTGATATTATTATGTTTTATTAACTACACCACTGGTTTTTTAACCCGCGCCGCCTAGTGGTTAAAGCACGTTATTGAATTTTGTTGTTGAATACGTTTTATTTGATGAAAACATTTAAATATTAAGAGTAGCCTACATACCAAATCGAAAATATGAAGAAGATACTGTAGTGATCTCTACAATAAAACAGTTTAGTGCAGGACGTCCAAAGATATTAACAGGAGGATGTGCAAAACAGACCAACTAATAAGGCTTTATTTAAACATTAAGCTGGACCCGTCCAATTCCAGTTTTGGAAAGTCTGCCGTGGTTCCATTCCAATTCAAAGAGCTGTTGACGCTCAGTGTAACCTTGTCGCACTGCCACTCCAACATCCAATCACAGAGCTTGATGACTAATCACGGGGTTTGTAAAGCAAGGCGGATGTTGTAGTCCCAAACGATAGCTGGGGATTCTGGGTAGTGTAGTGTCTTCGGAAACTGTAGTGTCTAAACTCCTAAAAAACTATTTGTTTCTCTGAATCGAAGGTTAAAAACACAAAAGCATTGTACACAATTTAAACCAATCAATATTGTGTAATTAACAAGGATACACTGATGTTTTTTAGTGGATGAGTAATGCAGATATCACTGTGTAATCATTTGACAGTGAGGGGAATATATCCGGTTAGGGTTAGGGGGGGGGGGGGGGGGGGGGGGGGGGTGGGGGGGGGGGAGGGTGGGGGGAGAGACCAGGAGGACAAATTGTTATAAAAAAAAAAAAAAGATTAAAAAAAAAAAAGATCATAATTTGAAAAATTATTGATTCGAAAATAATATGATACAGTACAGTACTATTGCGTCTGGGTCTCTGTGTTTCATTAAAGCTCGGCTCTGTGTGTATGTGGAACGAGCCATTATGTGTGCGTGAGCGAGAGAGAGAGAGCGCACCGGTACCGGAGATCGTAGTTGTTAGCTTCTGGTGCTAGCAAGCCACGCTAACGGATATAAAGAGTTTTTTCAACAACAAAGTGGAGGAGAGTCCTCTCCTGTCAGACTGAGAGTCTCAGTGAAGGACTCTGAGTGTTATCTCAGTGGGTCTCAAACGTTTTGGTCACCATTAATGTAAACAATTATTTCCGAGGCACTCGTTTATATGATCATTATAGTTATAAAAAAATAAGAGAATAAATGAAAAACAGGTATGAAATACTATATGACAGTAAAAAAAGAATATAGTTTAAAAGGGTGATTTGTAAAATATCCATAAAGAAAAAGTAAATCTGTTTACAGTTCTGTTTCAAATGGGTGTTGAGAGATGTATCCATAGATCTCTCATGTTGCTCTCAAAGTGCACCAGATTGATGCTTTTAACTTCAATATTTAAAAATAAATCTTCCCGGGGGAGCTTGCCCCTGGACCCCCCTATGTAAGGTACACACACCACCTATAAAAATAGCACTTTACCCCTGCTTGAGCCTCGAGCCTTCATTGTAACTGTCTTCCTGTGTATTTGCGTGGGGATTGTTGCAGTAGAACATTTCACTGTAGCGCCCGGTACATTAATGGGAAACCCTAAATGTTTGAGCACCCTCTATGAAACGTCAAGCTACCCTACAGCACCCCAAAATAAATATCTGGCGCCGCCACTGAGCCTGACTATTTGTGTTGGGGGGGCCCGATTTATTTTTTTCTCCAAAGGGGGGGCATGACAGAAAAAGTTTGGGAACCCCTGTTATAGACCAACCCAGTCTCACGGCATTTTGTGTTATAGTCACGAAATTAATTTAATCTATTGATTCGTGTTCAGTTCACCAACACGATTTTCGCATTTTTTTCATGTCACACAGAATGATTTTAAAAGCAATGTATTTTCTATTGGTAGTATGTTTCGTGCCTGCACCACGTCTTTTTGTCCGGTCGGGTATTGGAAGACTGGAAGCTGTGGGGTTCATAAAAACATTTTCTTACTCAATATCTTACCCTAAGCCTAACCCTATCCCTTTTATTTTAAATTGTATAATGTCGGAGTTTTTTTGCCGTCCGCGAGGAAAATACTCGGAATACTGAAATCTGTATTTTTTGTCATCTTTTTTTCCTTCTAATTTGTTATTATTTGGTGCAGGCACTAAACATACTACCAATAGAAATACATTGCTTCTAAAATCGTTCTGTGTCAGAATACTGAAATCTGTATTTTTTTAAATCTGTTTTTCCTTCTAATTTGTTATTATTTACATTGCTTTTAAAATCGTTCTGTGACACGAAAAAAATGGCGAAATCGTGTTTCGCCATTGTTGTTAATCGGTGAACACGATTAATTTTGTGATTATAACACGAAATGCCGTGAGACTGTGTTGTATAGACGGAAGGACTAAGTTGAAAAAGTTTCAAGTAGACAGAAACACAAGTGCGTATCCCAGAAATACCTTTAAAAAGGTACACGGTGGGAAATAAGACAGAGTTTTTCGTTAAATTATAGTGTTCAGTAAGAGGCTGAACTAAACAAAAACAGACGTGCTAACTCCCACAGGCTGGTGCGAGCTAGCCAGCTAACAACTGAACAGTTGGCACAGTGCATTGGCTGTAAAGGGTGAATAAACACATAGTGAATAAAATGTTGAAGCTACTGTATGAACACACTTAAGGAATCATCACAATTGCAAAACCAGAAGGGTTTAACATCTTTCATCAGTTTTAATCGAATACCTAAGTTTTAATTTTCAAGTACTTCTTCTACCACCACTTTTCTATGATTATAGTGTGTGAGTAAGTTTCCATTCACTTCTTGGTTCCTCTCCAATCTATCTCTTTATTTCTTTCTCTCTGTCTCATTTACCACTATCTCCCTCATTGTGTGTCCTGTTGCGTATCTAAATTGCTGCTACTGTTTGGGATAATGCCAGCCTGCCTTATCCAGCCATATTGTCTCAATTGCAGAATTTGGATGGGGCCTGCATCCAATCAGTTAACCTGGTTATTGACGAGGATCCAAGAACAGAGATTACACTGAGCCACGTTGGTGAGGTCTTCATGGCGGGACAGTACCGCATCTCTCTGCCGTATTCTGATGGTAACTTCCTACCCTTTTATCCCTTTTTTTTACTTTGACATCCAGCGCCAGCATTATTCCAGCACTATGCAGTTCTAGACAGATTTAATGACAGCTGTGCCATTGAACAGATATTTTCCTAATACTAGCGCTTGCATTGTGTTTTACAAAATGCTGTCCCTCTGAGTATTATTCCCTTTTTACACCAATTTTCACTGTCTGCCGCTGTCTGTTGATGGAGTCAACAGCCTTTTGTTTGATTTGTGATGAACTGTGTGAGAATTATCTGATGTTTTGGTACCTTAAGGAATAAGAAAACAACACCTATATCTTCTGTTCTGAAGAAATACATTTCTGACTATATACGTACTAGTTTACAGTCAATCAATTAATCAGTCAGTCGATCAGTCAATAAATCAGTCAATTAGTCAGTCAATATGTCTTTAAGTCATATGGAAATAAAAATGATACACAACAAAAGAAAAAAAAAGACGATAAATTCAAGGTTCAAAGCAAAGCACATCCAAAACATTTCTGAAACTACTTTCAGCACCACATTATTAAATTGCTCTTTTGAAAGCCAGTCCTTTAAGCAGTTATTAGGAAAATCATGTATTTATTATATGTTTTCTATCAAAGTAAATTTGATGTGTTTAGTTAGCTTATGAATACGGATGTAAAACAAATGTCATTTTCTTGTGCATACATGAATGGAAATGCACCTTGTATTATCTCATCTACCACCATCTTAAAGCCATACTCCCTCATCTCTCCCAGACATCTTCCACATCCAGGAGCTGTCGTCCATGTTCCTCCAGGTGAAGACGGCGTTCGGCCTGCGCCTGCAGTACAGCTGGAAGGAGTTCCGCCTCTATCTGCAGGCCGACGAGCAGTGGAAGGACGACACGGTGGGCCTGTGTGGCACCTTCAACGGCAACATCCAAGATGACTTTCTGTAAGTGTGTGACGGCTCACCTTTGACCCGTCCCGCGCCCTCTTCTAACCCCCCCCCCCTCCTATGTTTAAAAGAGAGAGCATGCTCCTGTTTCAGAGGTGGACAGGGAGGTGATGGTGAAGTGCTCTCTCTCTCACACTCGCTCTCTGTAATGCACACTGGTTTGGCGGCTCGGCATCAAAAGCCTCGCTCTCTGATCAGCTCTTTAAGGCAGGCCAGATGAGCGCCCAACTGGACACGCCACTTCAACAAGGAATTTACTGTTAGTGGAATAGGGGCTCCACTGTACCTCGTTGTAATGGCCCACCATAAAGGGCGGATGTTGTCTAACAGCTGTAAATGGATATACATCACAGTTTGAGACTGAAGTGGTCGTATCCTACTAGGAAGAAAACTGGAACTCACTTTGGCTGAAGATCTCCAGAAAGGACTTTGCAGTTAAAAACATGACGTGCAGTATCCTTTATTATTTTGGTGCTGATTTCAGTTTTTCGTTTGTTCTGACCTTTAGGATAAAGTAGTTCAAATATAAGGATTAACAGTTGTTTTAGACACTTTTATTGGCCAAAACAACTGGGAGAGTTAGTCAGAAACTCAGACAGTGGTAGCTCCTTCTTAAAAAGCAGAGGTGGGAACCTGCAATGTCTATAACTAGTAGTACAGTTGCCTACATATTATTCCGGCTCCCCTTTTAAAGGTTACAAGAATATGTTTATCTTTACAAAGACTGAATTCAATTTAATAATGAGTGCTGCTTTTCTCTGGGTTTGTCGTCCACGTATTAACGGGAAGGTACCTCATTTAAATAAGTATCATGGCACTAAACAGATCTTATCACAAGGTTACTAGAGGTAGAAGTAGCTTGTTGTACTATAGCTAGTGCTAATGCTAATGTTGTTGTTGTAGCACGATAGGCTTTATGATGCTTACCAGTATTGGGGTAGTTAGTAAAAAAAGTGGCGCGTTACCCCGAACACTGATGCTTACACTTATGTTTTCAAAGTGGAAATGTTGAGAAACAAGTCGAAACAATAGGGAGTATAAACACAACAATTCAAAGGCGGCACTGACAGGGGTACAATGCAGTGGCGGCGCCAGAGATTTTCTCCAGCGGGTGCTGTGGGGTTTTTAAATATTGAAGTTAAAAGCATCAATCTGGTGCACTTTGAGAGCAACATTAAGAGACCTATGGATACATCTCTCATCACCCATATGAAACAGAACTGTAAACAGATTTTCTATTTCTTCATAGACATTTTACAAATCACTCCCCTTTTAAAACAAACCGTTTGAGACCCACTGAGATAACTAGACTAAAGTTAACTATCTAAACACTGAGAGAGTCCTTTACTTCACCTGAGCTGAGGTTACCTGAGACTCTCCGTCTGACAGGAGAGAGTTCTCCCTCCACCTTGTTGCTACTTATACCCGTTAGCTTGGCTAGCTAGCACCAGATGCTAACCACAACGATCTCCGGTAGCGCGAGCTCTCTCTCTCTCTCTCTCGCTCGCGCACACACACAAAATGGCTCGTGCCACACACACACAGAGCAGAGCTTGAATGAAACACAGAGACCCAGAAGTAAGCTACTTGTACTCACGAGGCCTGTTATGTGCAGAATCCCTCTTGCTTGCAGGTGGTTTTGATTGAGTGTCCACACGTGGACGTTTAAGGACTAAAAAAATGATAATTTTTTCACTTTGCTGTTAGCAAATCATTTGGCGCTCTAGCTAACAGGAAGTCACTCAAGTGTCACAAAGTAATTTAGCCTATGGGTAGGTCAAAAATCGAATGGGTGCTGGCCATTGGCCTAATCATATCACCTGTGTTGGCTTTATGTTTTTGGTCAAACATTTGTTTGTTTCACATTTGCATTGATGTAATCAATCATTTTTCTAATTTAATAAAAATAAAAATAATAATAAAAAAAAACAACAAAAAAACCCACATATTTCTTGGGGGTGCTTAGGGGGTGCTTTGGCAATCCTGGGGGGTGCTTCAGCTCCCCATATCTCCCCCCTGGCGCCGCCCCTGGTATAATATACGACCCTGAGACTGAGACAAACCCTGAGACTCGACAAAACAAAATAAGCTAGCTGGTTTCAAGCTCCATGTGATGAATCTGTGCTCCTGTTTTCCTGCAGATCTCCATCTGGTATGATAGAAAGCACTCCTCACCTGTTTGGAAACGCCTGGAGGGTCTCGTCAGCCTGTTCCACCACTCTGAGTACGCCTCAACTCGACCCCTGTGATACACACCAGCAGGCCGGTCAGTTCCTCTCATGCCGTTAGCTCTCCCTATCTCAAAAAGTATAGTGTTAGATGTTGTGTTCCTTTTTATATATCTTTAAACTATTTTTAAATATCTAGAGCGCTATTAACTTTAGACATGTGCATATACATGGATGTGTTTGAATCAGCCTGGATTTCAAATTCATTCCTAAATATAAATGTGCAGTGCTACACTTTTTGTTTGTATATTTTAGATACAGGAGTTGTGAATTTTGCATACAGTATAGTACTAACTTGCTGCTCTTTGCCCTGCTCAGTGGCTTACGCCTCAGAGATGTGTGATGTGCTGAACCAGGATCTGTTCTCCGCCTGCCACGAGTACCTCAGCCCGACATCCTTCCATCAGCAGTGTCGCTCAGACACCTGTAAATGCGGGACGCCCTGCCTTTGCTCTGCGCTGGCCCACTACGCTCGCCACTGCCACAGATTCTCCATCATCGTTGACTTTCGGTCACAGATACCGGACTGTGGTGAGTAATCAGCAGCTGACTTTATAATAAATGTATTCCTTTATGTCTTAATCATATTGCACCAGGAGGCACAGGTATAAAGGGTACTGTCCTTCTAATCTGATTGGTGTTGCTTGTAAAACTTGTAAGATCATTTGAGAGAAAGGAAAGTGTAAAGTAATTAATATACAACCCAGTCTCACGGCATTTCGTGTTATAGTCACGACATAGACATAGACACAATCTATTTATTCGTGTTCACCAACACGATTTCCCCCTTTTTTTCGTGTCACACAGAACAATTTTAAAAGCAATTTATTTCTATTGGTAGTATGTTTCGTGCCTGCACCACGTATTTTTGTCCGGTCGGGTCTTGGAAGACCAGAAGCTGTGTGGTTCATAAAAACATGTTATTACTCAATATCAAGCCACGATTATTGTTTTTATTTTAAATCGTATAATGTCGGACTTTTTTTGCCGTCCGCGAGGAAAATAAATGGGGCTCAGAGCCTCAGGATACTGAAATATGTATTTTTTAAATATTTGTTTCCTTCTAATTTGTTATTCTTTTCTAAATAACACACTGTTATTTACTCAACAATAACACACAATGATCCTTGTTTTTATTTGTTTAATTCTATAATATCAGGCTTTTTTGGCGTCCGTCAGGAACTGAATTTCAAAATAAAGTCACCGGAAACAGACGTAGGCCTATAAGGGACATTTCGAGCATCATTGCGATACACACCCACTGAACTGATTACCCAAGATCCTCAGCTATGGTTGAAGCTCGGTGATTGGATGTTTTAGCCGCAATGCACGTTGGGATATGGTGTTAATGCGATATGAAATAACTATCAACAGAATTGCGTTGCCAGGCAACAGCTTGGGGTGAAAACACTATTTCCGGTCTCGAAGTTTGGATAGTAAGCTGCAGTACTCATCAACTAAAAACATCAGTTTATCCTTGTTAATTACACAACATTGGTTTAAATTGTGTACAATGCTTTTGTGTTTTCCCCCTTCGATTCGGAGAAACAAATAGTTTTTTCGCTGTTTAGGGTGGCCACACTACATTACCCATAATCCTCAGCTATCGTTTGGGACTACAGTTCCTTTGCTTGACAAACCCCGTGATTAATCTTCAAGCTCTGTGATTGGATGTTGGAGTGGCAGTGTGCCAAGGTTACGCCGAGCGTCAAACAGCTCTTTGAAATGGAATGAAACCACAACGGAGTATCCAAAACTGGACTCGAACGTGTCCAGCCCCACAATAAATTATACTTTATGAATAACACACAACATACAATGCCATAATAACTTTGTATTATTAGTGTAGGACACTTATGTATGTATAACATCTGAAGATGTGTAGTTTTATTCATGTTTTCACATAATTTTACACGATATTGTTATATTATTTCAGATATTGTAGTTCTACACATTACTATCTGAAGTATATCAGTCATTTAATGGTAAGCTATTGAAATTCTGATTCCATAGATGTGTGTACTACGGTGGCTGAGAGGTGCAATTGACAATTACAAAGTGTGAAACTCTTTAACAAAGCTTGAGACAAATTTCCATTTTATAAAACAAATTTCCATTTTATAAAACAAAATTACATTAGCAAAACACTTTTACCAAAGAAAAAACGATTTATCAAAAACACTTTAACATTTAATGAAACACTTTAACAAACTAGAGAATCAAACCGGAAAGGGAATGCCCATCATACCAGAAGTGACGTGCAAGTGATTGACACAAACTTAAGTTTGTTTTGGCGGATAGACCGCCGGTGTGCGAGATTAACTGTTTTTTTTAATTATCTGTTTTACAGCAGGCAGATGTAGGGGGCGTGGCCTTCGACTGAAATACACATTTCGATCGCTTCTTGTGTCGTTTACATAAATCTTTTGGTATATTTGGCTCCAGTGGCGGCTGGTGGAAAATATTTTTGGTGGGGCAATGGAAATGGTGACCAAACCATACTAGGGGGGTCCGGGGGGATGACATTTTTTTTGGAGAAATTACCCCTTAAATTATGACTTCTGGTGATGTTAGAGAGGGGGGGGGGGGGAAGGACAAATTGAGGCTTAAAAATATGAGATAGTCCATAATCTTCAGTGTGGTTAGCTATGAATCTTCCAAAACTTCCAAATACCTTGTCCTGGACATAGTTTCTACAGTATAAACTGTGCAACAGTACAGTAGGCCCACACAAACTGCAGAACACTGGTGCTTTGGGAACACTCAAATGATTTAATTCCCATTTAAAATCAGGAGACTGAATACGAACATTATGTGTGTGTGTGTGTGTGTGTCATACTTGCCAACCCTCACGATTTTCGCGGGAGACTCCCGATTTCATTGCCCTCTCCCGGTTTTCTCCCGCATTTCTCCCGATTTCTGACAAAATGAGATTTACTGTTTCCACTCGGACTTTAATACAGCTACACCATTGTTTGATTTCCATGGTAGCGCATCTCTTTAGCAGCGCGCACAACTCAAAGTCTGAGAGGGTGAGGAGTCACAGAAAACTGAACAAGAATCGACAACTCGACCCTCTGCTCACTCCTTTTCTGTAAAATACAGGTCCAGCCCACACATATGCTCCATGGTGCTACAGGCATTGCCCGTACAACTACAATAAGCATGTAAATGTTAATCTACAGCTCCAGCGATCCACTAGCACCCGGAGTCTCCACCTGCAGACGCAGGTTGTGGTTACGATGGCGATATCCGGACACGTACAGCGAGGACTACAAAAAGACAAAACGAGGTGACTGGGGATGTCTGTTCAAAACATTGCGAGCTCGAATACATCATTTAAACCAGCTATTGTTGCCAGACTTATTACTGAATATCGTTCTTAATGTGATACCAAGTCCATCTGAGACCTGTGTACACCTTCAGACAGCCTCCAAGTGAAGCGTACGTTGTTAACTCACAGTTTGAAAGCAGCATGGAGAAGTCTTCAGCTGTGGTTAACTAGGATCTGCCCAGGGTAAACTGGGATCCGCCCAGGTTAAACTGTGTTACGATTTCTGTGGCTATCTACCAGCGATCATGTTTAATATGAAAGACTACACACACATGTATCCTTTATAAAAACAGTATTCTGCAGCACTCATCCAGATAAGATGTGACTGTTAACTCGTTTTGTAAAGATATAGCAGAAATGTCATTGCTGCATGTGCAGGGATATTTAGACTTTAAAATGCTGCTTGGTCATTAATGTTGGTCTCGGCAAACAATATTAGGAATCCTCTATTCAAACATAATATTCAGTGTCCATCGACATGAAAATAACAAAAAAGTTCATGCTGGACTCAAACCCGAGTTCCAACAGCAAAAATCACTTGAGCCCTGCGCGTTATGAGTGCGCCGCGTATCAATACGACGTGTTAGATCACCACAGCTGAGTTTGTTACATTAACATTGTTAAAAAGTTCCAGAAAAATGCAACCCGACCATCATTTATAATGTGAGGGAATGTATGTACACTTTAAGCCATATAATATATAATATAAAAAATTATAGTAGGCATTTGCTTAGAAATAGTATAGGCTACTGACTGAGGTCTGTATCAAGCCTCATTAAGACCCACCGAGATCAGATATCCTAGTTTATCAGCCTGCAAGTCTACATTATGTTGTGATAAGTGTTAATTTTACATATAAATGTGTTCTAGTGCACACATAAAGTTCCAATATGCAAATCAGGCCATGTGTTTCGTTGTAGTAGCTAGGTATAATCATCACCAACAGATGGAAAGACAACAATAACAAGGAATTAATATTAATATTACCAAGTTACACAGAAATAAAAAATATAAGAACAAAGATAAAAGCTTAAACGTTAAGATAGAAACTAAAACATGTTTACAGCAGTGTACAAATTATGAATATATGTGTTTGTAGTTCTCAACGTGAGTATCCTCGACTCGTCATTCGGTTTGTGTCGCTGTATCGATGCATAATGAAAGTTAACCAAGTAAACAGTCACATCTTATCTGGATAAGTGCTGCAAAGTTATAAGGGATACACGTGTGTGTAGTCTTTCATATTAAACATGATTGCTGGTAGATAGCCACAGAAGTCGTATCACAGTTTAACCTGGGTGGATCACAGCTTATCACAGCTGAAGACTTCTCCACGCTGCTTTCAAACTGTGAGTTAACAACGTACGCTTCACTTGGAGGCTGTCTGAAGGTGTACACAGGTACAGATTTACTTTAAAATGTACTTTATTTTACTTTTAATTTTACTTTAAGATTTACTCAGATTTACTTGGTATCACATTAAGAACAATATTCAGTAATACGTCTGGCAACAATAGCTGGTTTAAATGATTTATTCGAGCTCGTAATGTTTTGAACAGACATCCCAATCACCTCGTTTTTCTTTTTGTAGTCCTCGCTGTACGCGTCCGGATATCGCCATCGTAACCACAACCTCACACACTGGTACTGAATGTGCATCAAAGTGTTCCTATCGTGTACCAAAATATACCAAAAGATTTATGTACGACAGAAGAAGCGATCGAAATGTGTATTTCAGTCGAAGGCCACGCCCCCTACATCTGCCTGCTGTAAACCAGTTAATTAAAAAAACAGTTAATCTCGCACACCGGTACCTATGGACGGTACGAGTGTGTGTTTATGGTCGTTAAACATGTTTTGTCCGTTCTATGGGAACCACCTGGGCCAAGTGACATGGTTTTGCTCATCACGATGTGCGCAAGAGGCTATACGTTCTCGTGCACACAAGAAAGTTACAGGTTCGCCAAGTAGGAAGTTGAGCTGTGCCTTTTACACACAGCCTTCGCTGTGTTTACCTTCATTAGACAGCTAAAGAGCGACTGCAGGCTGCTTCGTTATAGCCACACACACACACACACACACACACACACACACACACACACACACACACACACACACACACACACACACACACACACACACATCGAACTGCCCGATTATTACGCCTTATCATTCTATTTATGAAGGAGATGTCCGGTCACCAGTGTGTGTGTGTGAGACTGTGAGACTGTGACACTGGCATTTGTTTTCAGAAGATATTAAGATACTGTTGTCCGTTCTGGTACTGCGGTCAACTTAGCCGTCTCTATATACTTTGTGTTTACACTGTGCAGATGTAGAATGATGATTTAATATGCAAATTCAAACCGCCCTTTTAACCCCGTCCCTCTCTGCAGCGGTCACCTGTCCCCCCACCATGCAGTACGGGACCTGTGTGTCGTCCTGCCAGCGCCGCTGCTCCGCCCTCTCCATCCCGCAGCACTGTGGGGAGGAGTGTGAGGAGGGCTGCGTCTGCCCTCAGGAAACCTTCTACAACCATCGAACACACACCTGTGTGCACAGGTAAGAACGGCCGAGGTGGTGGGGGTATAAATTAAGAAAAAAAACAACCCTTTTCTAACTGCTGATCAAACAAACAAGCAGAGAAAGCGAGATGCAATGTGTATCACTGTAAGAGGTTCTTTTTTATTACACTTAATATTTATTTTATTTGAATTTAGGCAGGAGGGAATGAGTGACCATGGCAGGAGGGAATGAGTGACCATGTGTCCTTGTTGTGAATCGGGCCAGCTCTGCCTGTTGTGAAAGGTTTTGAAGCCTGGATTCACTCCACCAAACAAATCCTCTCAAAGTGATATTTGTATCTGCTCTGAAGTTTAGGTCAGCCTTTAAGTGGAGAGCCTTGTATCTCTCCTGCAGACGCTACAGAGCCAGAGGACCTCAGTAATTGTGCTCTCCCTTTCAGCCTGCTCTGCCCTAAAAGACATGCAGCTTAATTCCTCTTAAATGTCCCAGGTTTTTACATCCTAGTGCAGCGCGGTGACTTACTTACCATGTGATAGAGTTACATCAAGGAATTCACCGTGAAAACCCCCTTTTATTCCCGCTCGGGCTGGGGACGACACAGATATCTGATAACCAGTGAGAAAGAATTTGTAGTACAGAGGCCAATGTGTGGCGCTGGCCTATATGTTACAGGGCTTTCAGCCTCTGCGAAGCACCGTTTACCTCAACGTAGATCATTATTTTACATTTGTACAATGAAAAATCGCCCCAAACAGGTGAAGTTTTTTGGAGTAAGTATGTTGTGGATTTGACACCTTACGGACTAATTTCCCCTCCTAAAGCCTGCTTATCTGTCCCCTATCCACTTACATGTAATACTCTGTTTAAGGTAACACAAAGCCCTCTTTAACATTACTCTTTACACAATAATGAACAAACTGAGCAGTGTCTGGTTTACATCCCCAAAGCCTGGTGTGTCATTATGGCTTCAGGGGTCTTCGAAGGTCTTTCGGACATCCGATTTAAAGCCTTTTGCTTATGCTGAGATGTACAATGCAATGGTGCACAACAAACAATCTCTGCATCTGTTTTTCTCTCTCAGTCACATGTATGCATCAGTAATTATTCATCGGTCAACTGTTTCTGTGTGCTTAATTTTTGTTATTGTACAAATTATTACTATTCTGAATCGTCAACTAGGACATTTTTTGTTGTGTTATTTCCTTATAAATGCAGTTTGATTTTAGAAAACACAACAAAAGTTTGTTTAAGTGGTAGCAAAAATTATTTTTTAAATCAATCTTTTACGGATAATATTTTTTTCTTTAGTTGGGATTTATTTCCCTATATTGGCAAATATAGCTCGCTGCACTATATGCCTTATGAGTGTGTGTCTTTACAGGAGCGAGTGTCCCTGCAGTTTCCTTGGAGCAGATTACGAGCCGGGGGATGTGATCATGACATCAGCAGGTGTTCAGTAAGATCCTCTCCTCCATCTTCTCCATCTAAAGTTCTGCCTTCTGTCAGTCACAGTGCTGCTTCCTTTTTAAACTGGAGGAACTTATATCTTAATATTTAATGTGAACAAGTAACAGAATAAAGCCTACTAGTTGTAGAGATAAAGTATAAGTAAGAACAAAGCTGAAAAAACCATAAAGTCATGTTTACCAATTTGTTAACCTACTTCTTTGCTAGTTTTTGTATTTACCTCCATCATGTGTCATTATAACCACCATCCTGTTCTCCTTATGTTTCCTTACAGACTCTGTCTGAATGGTAAACTGGTGTCACAAACAACAAACAGTGGTAAGTAACTTTAGTTTAGTTTTTGACCTTTTTACCTGTGCTGGACTATGGTGATTTGATGTATATGAATGCACCTGCCAATTGCCTGGTCAAGTTAGATGCTGCGTATCACAGTGCACTAAGATTTGTGACAAACTGTAAAGCATTAACCCATCACTGTACCCTGTATGCAAGGGCTGGTTTGCTTTCACTAACTGTACGGAGGCTCAGTCACTGGTACATTTTTATATACAAAGCCATGTTAGGGAAACTTCCATCTTATATCTGCTCCCTGATCTCACGGAGAATTGTAAGTGGCTACTGCCTGAGATCGAATGCTGTGGTTTGATTAAATGTGCCAACTGCTAGGACTGTCTTAGGGAAGACAGCTTTTAGATGCGCAGCTCCTCTGTCTTGGAATAGTCTGCAAATTAAATGGAAACTGAACAATCTGGTGCCACTAAATGTTTTTAAAGCTCGGTTGGATGCTACTCAATCGGAAGCTATTGGTACCTGTTTATGTGGATCATTATGTAAATGATGCTGTATGATGTCCTTTTGTTGTTCTATTTATGTTTTTATGTTTCATGTGGAACTACTTGAGCAGGTCTCCCTTGAAAAAGAGATCAATGATCTCAATGGGATTTATCTGTCTAAATAAAGGTTTGAAATGAAATGAAATGAGTTTCTTTAGCTAAGTTGATATTAAGGGATGCTTGTCTTTTGCTTAATATCACATTAAAGTATGTAATTTAATGGTTATTATAAAAGTTGGAAGACACTACCACACTTCTAGCAGATCATACTCTATAATTGAAAGGAATTATTCATAAAAAGCACATAAAGCACATACAATTATGAGAAACTTGAGGAAACACGAACCATGGGATGAAAGAGGATGGATGGAGCTTTGTAGAGAATAAAACTGAAGCTACTGGATCCTATGCATTTTTCCATCTTCCTGCAGAGTCGTTCTCACCTGTGATTTATTTTTCTCATCTTATAGACATGTTGTGTCCAGCTGGTCAGCTCTACGAGAACTGCTCTGAGGGGGGCGACGGCCTCATGACGGGAAGGGGCGTGGCCTGTGAGCGCACCTGCGAATCCTACCTGCTCAACCTAACCTGCTCCACACACGAGCCCTGTGTGGCCGGGTGTACCTGCCCCCATGGGTGAGTGAAGTTATTTAGTCCCGTTATAATTTGTGCTGGCAAATCATTACAGACTGCTCGAATCACACTATAGAATGAACGATAGATTATTTTTGAAACTTGTCCAGTGCTACTTAGAAAAAGAACCCCACATGTATTACTTTTATTTGTATAGTGCTGTGTTGACCGGACCTACTGCTATCCCTACTGGTCCCACAACTCAGTTACACATCAAAGATGGCGATCATTGAGTGTGTGAGAAGTGTCCAGCAGTTCCACAATCACATTTTGGACCATAATAAGTGCACCAGCGGGGTGCTTATAGTGCTTTGCATTAAGCCATACTTTCCATTAGGATGCAATTATGCACACAAAATAGCACAAGTAAGTACAGAAGTACGCAAATTGAGAAACAGCCTAGATGTCTTGCTGTCTGTTTGGTATGGAAAAAGAGTGTGACCCTCTTTCTGGATAAATAAAGGTTAAGACATGAGTGTGGAGGTTTGGTGAAATCTAAAGCTCTGAGTGTGCAGGGCTGTGTCTCTTTATTCAGTCATAGTGTTGTTTTACTGCTGGCAGCCTTATTTTATGAGTCTTAGGTCATCTGTGGGAGTCAAAAATACTTATAAGCGTCCGATGAGGTGAACAGACATTATGGAGTGGAATACAGTAATCTGATCCCTGTAATTCCCCTCCTAATGTCGGCCTGAAAGGAAGGGTAAGTGGTTTCATTCTGTGACATCAACCAAGAGTCATGATGATAACACTATGCACTGGTAAGGCTTTGCAAAACATATCCTCGCTTATGACGCTTTGGTGAATATTATACAGCTGGTAAGGTATCTGACAACAGCAGACCTTGTAAAGTATTGCACAGAGAATGGTCATTTGAAATATAATTCACCAAACTTTGGAAGAAACACAAGTAGTATTTAAGTGGTTAAAATGTAATATTGAACTAAGAACACTAAATTGAAAATGCAAAGGCAAGAATGGTAAGAAACACACAGTTAAACATGGATATTTTGAGCTACAAAAAGAATAATTGGGATTTGACTATCTTGAGATCCCATAAATAATCAATGATTCAGGTCAGGGGTGAGTTTAATTATATTTTTATATTATTTTTGTTTTGTAAAAACTGGGTGGTTAGTCAAAAATAATCCCCTAAAGTGAAACATTACCTTTATAGAATTACAATTTCAGCGAAGGCCAGTTGAGCAATATACATGCACTGATTTTGTTGATAGCTATTTCTCCCCTTTTCCCAAGTCTATCACGGTCTATGAATGGAATCACTTGTGTGATTATGCAGTGGGCATTTTAAAACACAAAGAAAAGGTTAGCCAGCTACAGTCATTTTGATCCTGCGTCAAACTCCTCTGACTCGCCGCTGTGATTAATTTATTCCTACTCACCTTTGAGAAAGATGACCTCTGTGTTCATTTTGCCAGTCTTTGTACAGGTGATTCATAACGTCCACCAACCTAAGAGTTTGTGTGCTAACTGTTACGCTGAATATAGACACAAAGAGATCTCTTTCAGCTCCCTGGTGACGGCTGGATTTATAAGGGCAATGATAGTTTGAAGGTTCAGTCATGACTCTGATTTTAGATACTTGTTTTTCAGATTGAGAATAATCTAGTTGTTTTAACAGTGACACACTTTTAGCTTTTGACTTGAATTGATGGTGGTGATTGTATTAATGAAACTAAATAAAGTTGATTAATGATTAATTTTGGAACCCATACAAAGTGAAATCATAGTCAGACAGATAATTGTTACGCTGTGATGTCACTATGTTACTGGAGTATGCAAAGGAGTTCAATGGAGGCGTTTCAGGCAGGGGGGATGTGCATGAGAGAAACTTTGGGATTTTAGTCTTTGCAAACCATTTACATGCACAAAAACCTATATTACACACTACAGGAAAGGGAAAACCCCAAAAGCATAATGGGGCCCCTTTAACACACTCAGCTAACTTCAAAGTGAAAAAGATGAAGTGGCAGATGATGCTTTTATGGATGTATTCAGAAAGCTACTTTTCTTGGGAATCAACCTGTATTCTGTAATTAACGTAATTAAAACTTAGATGCCCCTTTTTTTCTCATTTATGATGGTGGATATGAGCGAAAGACTTCAACTGGCTGGCTTTGGTTTCCTTTCTAAACCAGACAGCAGATGATAAACAGGTGTTCCATCTGACTGTAAACTAAGATGATTATAATGGAAACAAACAAAAAAACTAAAAGTCAAGTGCAAGGTATTCATCTGCAGCAGGACTTAAAAACCTCTAATGGGAAATAATTAGCTGAGGTGCTGACAGAAGACTCCATTGTGTTTTCATTCACAATGGCACACTTTGTGTATGATCTAAATGTAGACCATTCATTCTGTGACAATTAGCCAGCTGAACTCATATGAACCTGGACTTTCAGGTGCAGCATACCAGAATCTGGTTTTGGTTACAGTACGTATACATACAACTGTTAAAGTCTGCTGTTTGCCTGTGGGCTTATCTTGAGAGGCTTGGTGACTTAATAGAACACAGAGTGTTACAGTATGGAATAAAGACACGCAAAACTTTTAGCCTTTCAATGAAGATGCAGGTTGGGCGGTGATAATTGACATGACTCAACTGTAAACTATGTTGCGTTTTGGAACATCAAAAGCTAGCTGGACGAACATGTTTGGGTTTTGAGGATCCCATAAGGTGTCACAACAAAACCCAGTAGTATATGTTTAATTTAACTTTCAATACTCCCAGTTAAGACAAATTGGTGACTTTCAATTAATACTCGATTGGTTGCTGCAAACTGGATGGTTTCGGTTTTAGAGTACGGATGCAGATCTTGCTACAATTTATATTTCATTGTTCTTTTAAATACTAATTTATATTTCATTTATTAATACAATTACAGCTGAGTTTTTGTTTGTGTTAGAATTAGTACAGCTTACAATAGAAATAATTTATCTATAGAGAATCGGAGGGATGAAACCCTCTTTAATGGTCACACATGCAGAGCACACTCAGTGAAATGTGTTCTCTGCTTTTAACCCATCCTAGTACCAGGAGTCTAGTACTAGGAGCAGTGGGCAGCTATTGTACAGCGCCCAGGGAGCAATGGGAGTGAGGGGGTGGGGGTGAAGCCCAGGAGGTGAACTGGGACCTCTCCAAGTACCAGTCCACACACCATATTTGAAGTCTGTTTGGGGACTTGAACTGGCGACCCTACAGCTCCCAGTCCAATCCCCTACTGAGCCACTGCCGGACAATGTCAGTAAACCAGCTATTCATTTTTCCAATAATCAGCCATTTAAGGATTGGGCCTGATGCAACATTTAAATATGTGCACTTGCAGCCCATTTCCACTGAACTTCAGGATATCTAATATGAATTCGCCATTCCTGTGTTTCTCCAATCTCGCGACTCATTGGCTATGTGTCTGATGACTTAAGTCCACTGCCTCAGGGGCTATATTTGTGGGGTTCTGGTTACTGTCCCTTTAGCAACTTTCGACGCAAACATGTAGTTGGTGTTGAGAGATTCCATCGTATAACACTGGAGTGTTTCACAAAAAGCCACTTTACATACTGATAAAAAGCGAATTTATCAACAGACGATTGCTGATGTGGTCTTGGATTGCCATATGGCCAATAAGTCCTGCCTCTTTTGGTTAATTATACACAGACTAATATGGAAACTAGAGTGTTTCCGATATCAAAATCTAGAATGGCCTACAGATTCTGCATTTATATATAATCTCTGCTGGCTTAAGAAAAAATGTTATGTCAGAAGATCTTACCTAACTTAAAGTATCGGATACATTCAGCCGGTAATGCTGCCAATGGTAATTGTCAGGCCATGTTGTCACATCCCTACATGGACACAAAGGGAACCACCATCTTTCAACTGCATCTGTATAACCAAGACAACAAATTATTCAAAATAATAATAATTTCAGCATACTATATAGATATATATATATATATTTAGCTATATCTCAGGTTCAGGTAAACTTCAAAAGAATAAGAAAGAACAATATCAGCAGGACAGAAAACAATGATACTGGTTGTAGTTTAGTAGGTTTAAAATCCATGAAAAGGACTAAAGCCTGCCAAACAATGAATGTTATTTTAACAGTTTGTGAGGGGCTGTCTGCTTTTGTTATCTGGTATAATTAAACCTGTGATCTTCACTAGACTGGAGTCAAACTTTTGCATTGTCTGGCTCCCCTGTCGCCAGTCTATGCGACAACATCCTCCTCAGTCACTTTAACACCATCTGATGGAATTAAAATGAAAATGAGCGCTGTGTTTATGTGGATTTATTCATAATGTGCACGTAGGTCAGGAGAATGAATGATTGCAGAATCTTTGATCAGAGTAATTGATACGGCAGCTTGGCGTGCAGATAAAGGAAGCTGTTAACACTGTTTTATCTGCGGTGTAACTCTACTCAGATGAACCTGAGGTTTGTGGCGGGACCATTCAGTATGTCACTTCATTGTCTGCAGCCTCGCCAGTGGATATACCTCAACCCTGGATATTACAAGATACTTATCAGCCTCGTCTCGCAGAGCGGAAAGCAAATGGAGTCATCCAGACAAAGACTGTTTCTCTCTCTATCTCTGAGAATCCTAATTGTCCGGTTTTCTCATGTATTAACAAGTGTTACCGCTTTTCATCCACAATCGTCTCACAACACTCACTCGCTCTTTGTTTCCTGGTATCGCTCCGCTCTAGAAGCTAACCTGCTTTGGCTCTGCCTCTGTTGATCTTTTGGCAAAGAACAGTCCTCATATTTGGTTTAGAGATAAATACGAATGACGATTATGTTATAACATGATTGCATCGTGTTAGACGACAGTTCTTGAATAAAACTCCAAACTTGACTTACGAGGCTCTGTTATTGTCCTATCAATGGTTTCTGTCAACAATTCAATCGCTTCACTCTTACTCTCATTGGCTTCACATCACAGATCTCCATGTGGGACTAGTTTGCTACTTGTCCATTGATGAGAAGTTTGCTTAAATTAAAAATATGTTCTTTTACCTCTGGGATTGAGTCTAGAAAGGGTCTGCTACCCTAAACTGTGTTAAGGTTCGGAGTTTGTTAGGCTTCACAAACTTGGTGTCTGGTGTCACATTGACTAGAGCTCAAACAGCAACTCGATTAACAGAAAATGAATCTGCAAACATCAGACGATCAACGTCAAAGTTAGGATCGATTTTGAAGCAAAAATGTTGGAACTGTTCTCTGGTTAAATTATTAATGCTTTTCTCTTAGGATTTTAGACTCTTTAGATTTAGATATAGATTTTGAGCAGACAAATATTCGGAAGATGTTATCTTAGGCTCTGGGAAACTGTTATGGGCATTTTACAGGAAATAGTAAGTTGCTTGGGACTGCGCTCAGTTACGTCGTGTCATTATGTCACAAGTTGCGTTCAATGCATCTCGCAATGATTGGTCATTTTAAGAATATTTGTGTTTTTGAGCCATTCATATCTTAACATAGGGAGCAGGTCCTCTTCACTGAGTCTGCCATGTTTCTATAATAACTCAGAAAGGACAAACCAAACAATGGCTCTATAGAGGGCTTTTTGCGTATTGCGCTACTTAAAGGTCACTGGTGGATTATTTTAAACGTCTGATTGAATGGTTTTGGTAAATATCCCCTTTCTCAATGGACCAAGCCAACTGATGTTAGCATATTGCTTATGTATGTTTGAACAGGAAAGATCTAGGCCTCCTGTAAGATTTTGGAGCCAGAGTGGCAACATTTACCAGAAGAAAACATCAGTGATCTTAATCCAATACTGTCTGACGATGTCAAACTAGAAATGTTAACAACTTTATATTTTCCCCTAGCTTGCTGAAACACGGAGATGAGTGCTTTGAACCCGCATCCTGCCCTTGCCTGTGGAAAGGAAAGGAGTATTACCCCGGCGACAGAGTGTCCTCCCCTTGCCATCAGTGGTAAGTTCATGCCACATATAAACTCAGATCAAGCTTTTATGCAAAACTTGGTCTTGTGATTCCACATGATCTTTTCCTTTCTTCCGTTGGCCTTCATCCATTTTGTCAGGGTATACAAATGTGTATTATCTCCACCAATCATCCGATTGGCAATATCTGTCAGAATGAAGACATATCGCCAACAACTCTGCTAATTTTTCAAAGTCAGATTTTGCCTGACTCCTGAGATCGTCAGAGCAGCTAAAGTGGCCACCTGATATCCATAATTTTCTGCTATCACAGATCAGAAAGAGCCTTGAAAACAGAGCGGGCCCTTGTATGACTTTTTGATTCCCTCTGCCTCAGACTGTTCATCGCCAGTGAAAGGAAACACTCTCCCAGTGATCTCAGTCATTCTCCCATCCTCCCATTTTCTCCTTCAAGCCATAGCCAGGGAAGAAGATGTAGATGACAGCCTAATAGCGCAATGAGCAAGTGATTCAGCCTTTGACAATTCACCAGCCACTTTTCTGCTTGCTGTAAACCTGAGGTGCTCGGCTAAAAAGGAGGCCATTAGACGTGAAAAAAATGTCCCCTCCCTAAGTGGGAACAAGTTGATGCTGAATCACTGAAGCTTTGCTGTCTTTGTAGTGTTTGCCAGCATGGGACGTTCCAGTGTGTGTTTCATCCGTGTCCATCCATGTGCATGGCCTACGGTGACCGCCACTACAGGACGTTTGACGGACTGCTGTTTGACTACGTTGGTGCATGCAAGGTCTATCTTGTAAAGGTATTGAAATAATTGATCTATACTAAGGGAAACAAAAGTGTGTGTTTTAAATAATGAAATCCATTAGCTTTCTTTCTGTACACTTAAGGTGTTTAGTTTTCAATTTTAGGTTGCTTTTAGGTTAGGGTTTTATCAGTTCTAATAGAAAATTACTCAAAAACTGATTTTCACCGTGTCCAAACGCAACAAAAGTTGATCACTGCATTTTTCAGAAAATATCTTCTTGTGAGAATGGCAGCTCAAGAAAATGCTTCAGATAACAAATTGAATAGATGCCTTAAGACAAAACAAACCTGTTTCTCCCCTCAAAAGTATTTTTTTTGTCCAAATGTTGACCCCATCATATATATATTTATAAGTATAAACACATCATGTTAGGTTTAGTGTCAGGAGTTTTTGTATTTTCTGTTATTATGTTTCCTCTCGTCCACAGAGCAGTGCTGATGTGATGCTCAGTGTGACAGCCGAGAACGTCGACTGCTTCGACAGCGGAGTCATCTGCAGGAAGTCTCTGCTGATCAACATCGGCAGATCTGTCGTAGTATTCGATGATGACTCTGGAAAGCCCGTAAGAGTCACTTCCAATATATTTTTCATATATATTAATGACATAGGTGGCCAGAAGCACATTTGCTGCATGAAAAGAAGCATCAATTCTAAAATACAGAATATGTGCAACTGGTTTTATTGTCTCACCTTTAAGTAGCAAAGAAAGTCATTGTCACTGGTTTTGTTGGATGATTATATTTAAGTCAACTCTAGAATAGTATTCAAGAACATTTCAGTAAAATGTACATCCCATTTTTTGCAGAATCCATCTAGTGTGATTGACAGGAAGCAGAGGATGTTCATCTGGCCAGCCGGGTACTTCACTGTGGTTCATTTCCCAGAGGAAGAAGTCACTGTCCTCTGGGACCGAAAGACCAGCATCCACATCCAAGTCGGACCTCGCTGGCAGGTAGGACGCTGTTTCAGTGTTTTCTTTCTAACAAATGGGTCACTAAAAGCTAAAAAATTAACCAATATGTGTTTTATCCATATTCAAACTACAATCAGACAGCTTTCTGCCTCCCCGGTACTCCCTGAAGAATATAAATATTCTCTCTGTTCTGTACAATCTGACCATATGGACTATTTTAAGAGGATATCATGTTTAGGGAATTGAGATATTTGAAAAGAGATGTTGGTGATGTGTTCAGGGAAAGCTGAGTGGGCTGTGTGGGAACTTTGACATGAAGACAGCGAATGAAATGCGGACACCCGACAACATCGACTCCTCGACTTCACAGGAGTTTGGAAACAGCTGGACTGCAGTAGAGGTGAGTGAAATGTGCTATATCATCAAACATTTGTCACACTTGATTAAATGTATCCATTTATGTGCACAAACCTACAAATACCACTAGACCAGAGTATTCAGCAGTGTTACATTGAACTAAGGACATTACTTCAAGTATATGAGGACACATACAAGGTGCTTGTATTTGTGTATTTCCAATTTATTTTCTTAATACTTCTACTCCACTAAATATTGTCTTTTTTCCACCGCTGCATTTGTCTTACAGCTTTTGATGATGCATACTTTTACCTAAGTCAAGGCTCTGAATACTTCTTCCGCTACTGCTTTCCTGATTGTACTCCTCTAATAAAAAGTTGTGATTTATCACCTCTGCGTGTGTTTTTGTGTTCAGTGTGTGAACAGTCCAGATATCAGACACCCCTGCAGCCTCAGTCCGCTCAGAGAGCCCTTTGCAAAGCGGCAGTGTGGCGTCCTGCTCAGTGAGGTCTTCATGGCCTGCCACCCTGTGGTGAGTAACAGCACAACAAGCAACACAACAATGTCCCATTTTGAGTTTCCCAAATAAATCCCAAATAAGTACAATCTTTATTCTGGACCATTATTTCATTCGTCCTGCTCATCCTTTTGTAGGGATTTCTAAATTAACTCTTTATTTTATTTCCAATAAATTACTGAAAGGTGTTCGTTCTTGTTTATGTTCAGGTGGATGTAACCTGGTTCTACATGAACTGCCTGGCTGACACGTGTGCCTGCAGTCGTGGAGGAGACTGTGAGTGTTTCTGCACCAGCGTGGCAGCGTATGCCCAGCGCTGCTGCCACCAGGGCATCCCTGTCGACTGGCGCTCACCGTCTCTGTGCCGTAAGTCAGAACGCAAGGAGGCGAAAACCTGATCTGTTCCAGGAGTTCATTTCGATCTGAAACGGTTTCCTAGAACAATAATAACCCCTATTTTTAGTAATAATCATTAACTTCTTTATTATTTCCTATATGCATCATTACATTTGGTTCTTATTTGTCTTGATTATGGAGCACTTTTTTAGGAGCTATTACTATCATTAATTTTGTGCTTCTTTTCACAGCGTATGATTGTGAATTCTACAACAAAGGTACGACAATCTTTCCACTGATCTAAAAGCCATTGAATCAACACACACACACAAATCATTTATATAAACAATACAATTAACAGTAGTTTCTGTCTTGTTTGAAGTTAATATCCAGCTGGATGTATTTTTGCTTCCGCTCCAGAGAGACTGGTTGATTTTGAAGGCAAAAACAGTTTGATGGGAGAGGTTACTTTCCTGTTTGATTTTCATTTGATAAAGAAGTGATCAATAAAACGGTATTTGTCTTGAACCCCTAAAAAAATACATAAAAACATTAAACCGAGTAGTATGGTGTACAGAATGTGTAGCTTTTGTGATACATTATACAGGCTTTTTTTAATATGAGCAATACTACTTACTTTGTGACAGAGATACATTAACATGGCCTCCTGTCTTCAGTTCTGGGTAAAGGGCCCTACAGGCTGATCACCTTCAGGGACAGGACCACGCTGCTGGCAGCCAGCAGGACCAGCGGCTCCCTGTTCCTGCAGAAGGGCAGTCTCAGCACCTTCACCCCCACCCCTGGAGTCCTCTCACAGTTCATGATGACGCCGGGCCTCAGCAGAGCCCGACCACATGGTGAGTTACCTCTATTCACTCTGCACAGTTACAATTCATTTACAAAGCAGGATTCACTTCACTGGTGGAACTGACTTAGTAATTCTCTCTTTTTTCAGCAGTCAGAACTCACAGCTATTTATCTAGTTATCTGAGAATAAGATAATGCAAATAAGCGCACAAAGAACACTTCTAAAAGATTTACTTAAATGCAGAGTAAGTTCTCTATGAGAGCATCGAAGCATCCTGAAAAAAACCCTGTAGTGAAGATGTATTGCCATAGCAATCAAATAAAAAAACGTTAGCATTTTAAAAATTCACAAGACTCAAGACCTACTGTGGAAACTCTGAGCACTGTTTTTATCTTTAATGAGCATTCTGCACATTTCCCAATATTAAGGAGTGATATCTTTAAACAAATCCTTGCTTTTGTAATTGCTTTTCACACTATATTTTGATATTCTCAATATGTTTTCTTCTTGATTTTACAAGAACACCTACAACTGAAAGAAATACTAGATGAATCTGATGATTGAAAATGTCAATTTATAACAAGAGCCTTTTATGGGAATTAACTTGAATAACACCTTTAAACGACACAACATGTCCTTTAATTGTTACCTCTGTCTGAGTCCGGTTAGTTCATTGGCAGTCACTGCTAACACTACTTACTTTACTACACCTGGACCTAAGTGGTGAATGAAAACCTATTGACCTGGTTTCAATTTGATAACAATGTTAATCACACGTTTTTAAAATGTCATCTTGACACTGGATTTCTGATCAGCATTCGTAAACATCCAATCACGCCATCTGTCCTTCATAATCTGTGACCTGAGAGTTACAAAGAGCCTCTAATCCAGCCAGGCGCCGTTCTCTTCTTCCATTGTTTCCTCTGTGTTAAACTGTGTTTTGGATGATTTGAGCGCCTCAGTGAAAACACTGATGGAGAAGATGGACTTGCATTGACTTCCTTTGGCAGAAGGGCTCTGAAATCAGATTGCCAAATGCTAATATGGCAACATGAGCTGCAGGCTGGTCAGAAAGCCAAGACTGGAACAAGCTGGACTCGAGAGTACGCTGCAATGCTGCTGTACTCTGGCTCAGACACCCATTTATATACAGTGTATCAACAATAAAGCTTTTGTTGTGTTCTGTGAGTTACTAGAAGAGGACTCATAGAAATGCGTTTCAATTCTGTTTTTGCACTGGAATGTTAAATTCACTGTTTAAATTGTATTATTTATTACATTTCACTACAAATAAAAAGGTGTTTTGTATCTTTTTCTGCAGCTGCTTCCCCCTGTTGCAGCTGCAGAATAAATAGGAATATAAGGATTTTAACAGATTCTGCTTCTGCAAACAAAATGTATTCAGACCAAGCCACTTTCAGTTAGAGAAAAAGAATGATGAAGTTTTGAAGGAATGTTGTGCCGATGGCTCCCGATGTACTAACAATATGTTTTGCTTCTATCTCCCAGACACATCTCGGGTTTCCTTTGAGGCATCAGGCCGACCCAACTACTTCCTGTACGCGAGCCCTAGCGGCCAGGTGAAGCTGGCCAAGTGGGAGGACAGCGAAGCATTCTGGGACGGAGCCACCTTCGTGCTCCACAGGAACACCTGGATCCCCGGCTACGACTCGCTGGAGTCCCACGCTAAACCCGGCTTCTTCCTGCACGCCACTCCTGCCCGCCTCCACCTGCTCAAGTACAGACACATCGACAGCTTCCGCAAGGCCACGCTGTTCAGACTCACAGGTCAGCAGCACTGACTTGACCAATGTTCAGCAAACACTACACACCAACACTCAACAGAAGTGTCAGAGCTACAGATTCTGCAACTACCCTGGAAGTACCAATGTGCTTAATTTAGTGCAAAACAATTGTACCAATTGATTTAAATCAATACAGAGAGTATGGAGCCAGAAAAAACAACAACATGTATGGTGTGTAACGTTTGTTGAGTGCAAAACAATGCATGTCTACAGCCGGAATCTACATTGTGGCACAATTTATCAAAATGTATTTCATGTTAATTAACATACATCTTGACAAGTGACAAAAATCCTTTCAAAGTTTTCTTAAATGTGCGATCATATATTAATATTTTGGGAAATTAATTGATAGCTATTCTATTCACATAGACCCCTGTCAAATGACTGTATCCCCAGGATGCTGAAACCATTTAAGGGTTAAGATATTTGTCTCAAGTCATATTTATCCTATACAGAAAGCATACCTGTAAGAATACATCTCCAGGGCTTTTTTCATTTGTCAAGGTAATGAGCTTCCTTTTCAACACACTGTTCGTAAACTTTGATGTTGACCTGACAATAATTGGAGACACAGATAGTAAATGGCATGTTGAGGTTTTAGTGATATTTTTAAACCTCAGTGAGGATTCAGGAAACTTTGCTCAGGGTTCAGCTGGCCATCAGGGTTCAAAGGTCAAGACTACTGACTCCTCCGGCTGCATAGCAGCCTAGGCTAATCACTGATGCTAAAAATACAGCAGCCTTTCTGTTAGTTTATGGAAATGGCCTCTGAGCCAATAGCAGATTGGATTTCCTGCTGACGACAGTGAATGCCGAACACATTCAGAGCCAGGGATGAAGTCCAGCCTTCAGACAGACGGACAGAAATTGGCTTTCTAAGTTCATCACATTACTGGTCTGGGAAAAACATTTAAGGATCGCTTTTATCCAGGCTAGATTAGGAACTTCTTATAAAAGATTCCCTGCAGACTGAGGTGTCATCAGAGTGATTGTATCTTGTATTAACACTGTATAATAAGTTTAATCGAGACTTTAAATGATATTTTAACACTTTTTCAGCAACCTAGTTTCATTAATGCTATGCATTGTTGCAAAGCATTGTTCAAAAACCCTGAACTTTATTTAAAATGTAATTTATGGTCCACATTTTCAAAAGATACCAAGTTTGTCATGTGTATGACATGACGATACATCGAATATTTAATTTCAATTAATGTAATGCAACCATTAAAACCATGTGAATGCCCATTTAAGGGTTAACAGGGCCTTTGAGAAACAACAGTCTTGTGACACTGATATTTGTTGTATTTTGTTTTTCATTAGGCCCCAGCCCGGATGCCCCCCCTGGTCCTCGGTGTCAGTGGAGGTATGATTCCTGCGTCATCCCCTGCTTCAAGACCTGCAGTGACCCGTCAGCTGAAGCCTGCGTCAGCATCCCACAGTGAGACCTTTGACCTTTTCCATAACTCAACTCATCTCAAACTGTTTGTACATTACATTACATTGCATTTAGCTGACGCTTTTATCCAAAGCGACTTACAATAAGTGCGTTCGACCAACAAAATACATACTTGAAGAAAACAGAATCATATAAGTACATCAGGTTTCATAGAGCCAAACATTTCAAGTGCTACTCAACTGGCTTTAGGTAAGCCAGTCCTTTATTAGTATAAAAGTGCTTCGTTAATAGTTCTATCGCTCGAAGTGGAGTCGAAAGAGATGAGTTTTCAGTTTGCGCCGGAAGATGTGCAAGCTATCTGCCGTCCTGATGTCCTGTACATACTCTCTACTGGATTTAGATATCTAATGTCATTCACCTGTGATCTGATGGAGCTTATTTTACCAATAAGCTTTAAATGTTGTATTTATTTTAAGTGAGTAATAAGAATGATTCCCCTCCACATATTAATTTAGTCTATCACCATTCTTTTTTTAATGGCTTTTCCTTGTTGCTCTGTGTACAGAGTGGAAGGCTGCCTTCCTGTCTGCCCCCCACACATGGTATTGGATGAGATCACCCGTCGGTGTGTCTATGTTGAAGACTGTGAGTATCCACTGATTGATTTCAGTGGTGTATTGCATGTGAAATGTTTCAGATTTTTAAGTAAAACAGGATGTTGTGTTGTTAGATTGTTGTGGCAGGGTTACAGTGTTTGAAAGTAGGAGGCAATTAAATAAAAAAACTGTGACAGTTATTGGTTAGGTATAAACTGTGTCTCTGTCAATCTCACTGCTTCTCTAACACACATTTTATTGTTTGGGTTCAGGCATTAAAGTTCCAGTTACTGTGCAGCCTGTAACGCCATCCACTGCTCCACTGACCTCTGCAGCTGTCACTTCTGAAACCACCAGAGGCATTGCTCCCTCCACCACCCACCTCCAGACCACCACCATCCACCTCCAGTCCACCACCATCCACCTCCAGTCCACCACCATCGCCACTGCATCCTCTACCCCTCAACACACTGGTCCTACCACTAAAATTACCACAACTAGTCCTGTTGATGGCACACAGACGACCTTGTCACAGGCACCACCCGCCCCTGGCGAGCCCATCCTTCCTGTAGCTGTCTCAACTTCGGCAACTACTGAACTTGCTATAACAGCAGGACCTCCAATGCCCCCAACTGTCAGGCCAGATGTGGAGGAGCCGCTGTCTACCGTTAAAGTGACTGAAGCCTCGTCCACCACTGTAGCAGGTACAACAGCATGGACAACTGGAGCTGTGAGGTCCACTACCAGCCCCTTCGGTCCCAGCACGTCCAAGACGAGCAGCGCTCCTTTTGCCATCACGGCTCTATTCTGGGTCACCTCCACTACCAAGCCCTCCGACCTCCCGAAGACACTCTTCACAACCACTGCCACAACCCTGCAACCACCTACCCCTGCAGCACAGATCACAAGCTCCATTGTACAGCCAACCACCATAAGTAACCCTCCTCCCATTGCCTTGCATCCAACCAAAGCAACCACGGAGGCTACAACACATTCATCAGCAGTTACTCCGATATTAACCACGTCTAGTCCAAGGCCTGCAGTAGTGTCAGAGATGTCTACAGTAACAGACAGGACTACTGTACCCAGTACTACTACCACTGCATACACAGAAACCAGCACAAAGACTGTAACAGTGGAACGACTACCCTCAACAACAACTAGACCCATCGCTCCTGGTTTACCAAGCACAGCCTCCACAACCTACTCCCCTCTGCCAACCTGGCATTCTGCCGAAACAGGAACTGTATCGTTGCCAAAAGTCACTTCAACCAGAACCACAGAATCAGTCACACCAGTTGCACCTTTCGCCACTAGTAAAACAACACTGTACGAAAGTCCAGAGACAACATCAGCAACTTCTATTACAGAGAAGATTCCGTCCATTACTCCTGCTGAACTCAAAACCTCTACAACAATTGTTCCTGAGTTACCAATGTCAACCCCTATCCAGGTTGTTCAGACCACATCTGCACCATCTGCTCCTACCTCAAACTGGGGAACATCGACAAAGCAAGTGTCCATACTTGAATCTACTGTGAGTGAAATACCTTTAGCTACGACAACAGTTTCTGTCCCTCCCCCTTTGAAGATTACCACAACTTCTCCAGTGCCCACTACCAAAACCTATGCTGAGAGAACCTCCTGGTCTACTGCTGTCCCAACAGAAGAAACAACTAAGACCACAACTTCAAGCCCCCCAGATGTTCCAGAAGCAACCACAGTGTCCAGAGGTCCTACTGCCACAACAAAATCAACTGTACCGCTGGTGTCTCCTACACAAACCACTGCTGTACCACTTTTACCAACCACTGAGAGCTCCTCCTCTCCTGCGTCTACTGTACGGACCTCTGAGCCGTGGGTCCCACCCCAATGGGAGACCTTCTCCACCCCATTCTACAGCCCTACAGTGAAGACAACGCCAGTGGTCACTACTTTCATTCATGAAGTAACTTCTACAAAAACTACTTCAGTGCCTCAGATTCCCGTGACATCAAATCAGGTTGAAACCTCTGCAACATCAGCTGCTGCCCTAGCCCCGACCACCAAAACTACAACGTCGCCTGAAATCTCAACTTCAGAAATAGCAGCCACTACAACGAGGAAACTGGCCACACCCTCACATTCACCTGCACCTGGTAGTCCTGAGACACTTCTCACCACCATCTCTACAAGAGCTCCACCAGATATTGTGACCACGACGCTCAGACCTGTAATTGTGCAACCTATTACAGAGACGACACTTCCAGTGACTGGCAGGGTGGAAGTGTCAACAAGAACTACAACGACACCACCTCCATCTTGGTCTCCCCTGCACACAAGAACTACTTCCACCGCAGTTCCAAGGCCAACCACTTTCCAGGAGAAAGTCACCACCCGATTGGTGTCAACTGCTAAAGCTACACCAGCTACAACAACTACCACCATTGCACGGACGACCACTTTAAGAACAACACCTCAAGTTACACCCAGAATCACGTCGATTGAGAGGTCAACCACCAGGCCAGCCACAGCAAGGGTCACATTAACAACAAGTGTACCAGAAGTATCTTCCATATGGACCACTCTTGGCCCACCAACTGTCAAACCAAGCCATGGCGCAATGACCACGTCAAGAGAACCGTTTAGAACTGTTCCAACAACTGCAGAGTCCGTGGCCCCAACGAGCAAGACAGAACTTGCTGAAACAACCCCAGCAGTTCCCATCTTGCCCACCTTACCCGTTCCAGCCCCTTCTCCTACTCTGACACCGGTCACCTCTACAGCCGCTCCAACAACCACCAACCAAGAGACAACCAGCTCTGAGAAAACCATGACAACCAAAGAGAAGGAAGTTTCAGCATCCACATCCAAATCGGTGACGCCTCCACATGATACACACCTGATCTCCACCCAGACACCCGGTATTCACACACCATCAACTTCTTCACATCCAGCAGCAACCTCGGTCCAAGCTACTGAGCAGGACAAAGTCAATCGTACAAGTCCAGGTGCAACCACGCCTCCTGCACTGACTTTACCTCACACGACGATGGAAACAACCAGACACACAGTAGAGTCGACAACGTCTTTGGCTGTATCACCAACAAGGAGTTGCATTGTAGGTTGACATTATACATCTTTATTTTAGACATTTCAAAATAAGAGGTAATTTAAAGCTTAAATTACAGTATATGACACATCATTGTAGCCAATTCCTCTTGCTGAAACAGGCCATGGTATTACAAGTTTCAGAAAAAAAAGCCTATGAGTTGATATTTTCCCAGATATGTAGCCAATAAAGTTTAGGTCAATTGTCTGTTAAGTCAATCCTTACCTTACGATGCACTCAATGTTAGTTTTATATTCTGCTTACAAACATCTCTGTTTTTACATTTTTCTTTTGCGACTTCTGGATTTTGACTTTTTGACTTCCTGCCTTTCAGCCTCCGTATGCAGAGATAGTGGATGAATGCACAAAGTACATCTGCGTTAACAACCAGCTTGTCCTGTTCAACAAATCTCAAAGCTGCCCCTTCACCTCTGAACCTCTGAACTGCGGACTGCTTGGCTTTGCCATACTGGTCAATGGAGACAAATGCTGCCCAAAGTGGGACTGTCCATGTGAGGAAAACAAACACACATCCAATGACAGTACATGTCCTAGTTTTGACATTTCTCCAAACCAGTGTTCATTCATTGATGTCTCTCCTGTGTGCTCTAGGTCGCTGCTCGATGTTTCCAGATCTGAATGTTATCACATTTGATGGGAACAGCGTTGCCATCTACAAGGCTGCCTCATACATAGTGACCCAGTTGCCCAATGAGACCATCAGCATACTGGTTCAGGAGTGCCCTGCTGATTCAGAGTCAAATGTGAGTCAATATCTGACTTAGCAGGTTCCCGTAAAGGGATTTTAAATTGAAGTGACTTAATTGATTGTCTTCCATTTTGACCTGGTTTTCTTTCCAAAGCTTCTTTGGAATTTCACCAACCTCTGTTTGGTGGCACTCAACATCACGCACAAATCCAACCACATCATAATCAACAGGTTGCAGAGGAGGGTAAGAGTCACCCTTTTCTTGATTATTACTTTGTATATTAACTTTCACATAAGCTTAATATTTATTTCTAAAACTAATAAGACTATGTTATATCACATGCACTCTTCCAGCTCTACGTCAACTCTCGCTACGCCAAGCCTCGATTCAAAAAGTTTGGCTTTGAGATATACGACACAGGGAACATGTACCTGATCCGCAGCCCATCTGGTCTCAAGCTGCAGTGGTACCACAGCACGGGCATGATGGTGATCGACACAGACAGCTCCAGCAACAAGCTTCAAACGATGGGCCTCTGTGGTAAGAGTAGTTGTACTCTGCAAACAATTTTCATTATACAAAATACTGTACGTTTCTCCTTAAACACCTGTATGATGTGCTGCTCACAGTTTCTCCTTACAAGAGTGATCACAAACAAAGAACAAAACAATTACATCTGGAAGCGAAATCCACATAAAGTCTATGCTCAGGTATTCATATATTATGACTGAATCTTTGGTATTTCTTTCAACCCTCTCTCGCATCCAATCCAGGTTTCTGTGATGGAGACCCAACAAATGACCTGATGATGGCCAACGGCACCACTGTGGGCCCAAGCGAGGATCCGGCTATTTTCATCGATAGTTGGCAGGTTCCCAACACCACCAGCTACATCAGCCGCAGCCGCAGCCGCGAGCTCAACTGCTCCACCAGCAACTGCTCCGGCTGCATGCACATGCTGCAGAGCGACGCCTTCTCCCCCTGCCACGCCTTCGTATGTTAATCTGTAAACCTTTTTTCAGGTTCCTCTCCTCACACAAGAGCAGTGTTAGCTTGAAACTTAGACAGTCTGCTGTTAAAGATGTATTTTTGGACACAAAAAATTACTAAATACAAGTTACAAAAATCCTAATGTATTTCATTTATCAGCCTTAATCTTAACATAATAAGCATTATCTATGTGTGTGTTTTATTGTGTCCAGGTCCCTCCAAGCACATTTTGTGAGGTTTGGGTACGAGATGCAGAGTACGTCAACAACCAGTGTGTTGCGCTGGCTGCCTACGTGGCTTCTTGCCACAAATTCAACATCTGCATTGAATGGAGGACTCCAGATTACTGCCGTAAGATTTCTTCCTTTAACAGAGCCTTAAAATAATGTGACTCTGACAATGAGCCATCCAAATATTGCTGGTATAACATCTGGTTAAATATCATTCACAATCATTTGTGTTTGATTTGATCTGTTGGCAATGTTCATGTTATCATAGTTATTAGTACCTGGAGTTTTGGTGACACCTTTTAATTAATGCTACACAATCATTGTGACCAAAATAATACACTTTTGTGATATTATATTGATATCTATAGAAAAATGTAATAAAAAAGGTTATCATTCATTTTGTCTAATATGGTCTCCAACCATAATTTGAAAAAAGTGGAATTCAAGAGTCACTTGATAATTTACACAATCCTATCATTTTTACATAAATACTTAAATGTTTAAATATGACTGATATCATTAACACCATTATATATGAAACTCCTAATTCTAAAGTAAAGTGATGCGTTTAAGGGACTGACATAGTTGTTGTGTGTCATCCTGCAGCGTTTATGTGTCCCGACACTCTGCGGTATCAGGCCTGTCTGCCGGCCTGCACCTCTCAGTCCTGCCCCAACCATGACTTTGATGCGGACCCGGATCAGTGTTCAGGCCTGACTGAAGGCTGCGTGTGCCCCGCGGGAACGCTCCTCCACCGGCCGTACTCTGCCATCTGCATCTCACATGAGAAGTGTGGTAAGACACACTCCACTCCCTGTAGGGGAGAGAAAGAGATCTTGAACTCGAGGCAAATTACTAAGGCATGAGATTGTTAAGGGAACTTGTCATTATCTTTTTAAACAGTGCTTTTTTGTACACTCTTGAAATGACAAACCATAAACTAAAAATAATGCTGTGTGTGTGTGTGTGTGTGTGTGTGTGTGTGTGTGTGTGTGTGTGTGTGTGTGTGTGTGTGTGTGTGTGTGTGTGTGTGTGTGTGTGTGTGTGTGTCTGCAGCCTGCACTGACAGTTCTGGATTTCCTCGTGCAAACGGTGAGGTGTGGAAAGCCTCCAAAGATGCATGCTGCATGTATCGCTGCGACAACGACACCATCGTTCCCGTGGAGTACAACTGCTCCAACATGCTGTCCCTGGTGTGCCGTCGGGCAGGGGAGGTGATCATCAGCCTGGCAGACGACACCAGTTGCTGCCCGCAGAAAGTCTGTGGTGAGGCCACCAGAGTTCCTGCACCCTGATTTAAAATCTGCTAGAGAACAGCATCAAATCGAAGGCTCATTGCATGTGTTTTTTTGTTTACAGTGTGTAACCAGAGCATGTGTGACCTGCTCCCTCCTGAGTGTAAATACGGAGAGAAGGTGGTGTCGTACTACAGACAGGACTCCTGCTGTCCGGACTTCATCTGTGGTGAGTCTCCTCGCCGATCAGTAAAGTGATGGCTTTATTTTTGTTGTCAAACGGATGAGCTGTGTCAGATGTGATGTTCTCCATCTTCGATGTACGGAAGCTCTGAGAGGAAAGTGAAGAAATCAAAAATTCTGGTGACCCATTTTCTTTGTCTGACTTAAAGTGAAAACAGACATCTTATCTACTGTGTTATTGTACTTGAGGGTTAGGGTAAGATTTTTTTAATCTGTTAAAACAGGTGGGTGAAAAAGTTTGGCAGGTGATTCTTTTTTTTTCATCAGAATATTTTTCTCTTGTGTTGTAATGCTGATTTGTGCCACAAGAGGCTGAAGTGCACCACTATCAAACACACCCATGTTTTTTTCTAGGTCATTTTTCCATTCACTCTGAAAACAAGGTTAATATACTGTGTGTTAGCAAGTTATGTAACTTTACTGTCATGTCATCCTTTTGTCTACCAAACATAAATGGTTTTATTTCAAGCAGGGGGAGTGGTGGACTTCCTCCTCATGTGTCCAAAATGAGAACTACAACAACAAAATAATAAATAACATTTCTCAGCTCTTTAAAAGTGCAATGAATTGTTAGATAAATAAAAAAAATACAAGATGTCAATATTTGTTTTCATGTTGGATATATAACCTGTTGATTTCAGGAGCTTTAGAGATGTTTTAACCTTTGGACAGTGCCAGGCTAGCTGTTTCCCACCATTTTGACTCTTAATGCTAAGCTTAGCTAATCGTCACCGGTTTAATCTTGAATGTACAGATATGGGAACAGTCACATTTGTATATAATTCTGGACAAGAAAGCGAATAAGGATATTTCCTAAAATATATATTTCCTATTACTTTAATATTTTATTTTTTGCAGAGTGTGATCCTGAACTCTGTGAGTCGGAAGTTCCGTCGTGCAGAGAGGACCAGACGCTGATCGCCACCAGAGCCGACGGCAGCTGCTGCCTTGCTTACATCTGCAGTCAGTACAGAAATGAACTGCCATCTTCTGTTTCTTATTTTATGATGAGGGTAACTTTAGCAGGTTAGCTTGAAGCCATCAGTGTGATGAATGATGTGTGTGTTTCATGCAGTATGTTCTTCCTGCGCGGAGATGCCTCCTCTCTGCCATGACGGCGAGGTGCTGACAGTGGACGCTAACACCACGGACCGATGCTGCCCCGCCTACCAATGTGGTCAGGGAACAAACACACACTTTGTCATTTTTGTTACCTTTTTCTATTTCTATATTTACAGGGTGGACATTTCAACATTTGAAAAATAAGATGAGGATTTCTGTTAAAAATCTCATATTTGGTTCATAAGTTTGGAACCAGAGTAAGGGTTATATTTGCTTTGCTGTTTTGGTGCATAACAATAAAGATAGTGAAAGCAAATAAAAGATAATGCTTCACAGGAAGCTAAATACAATATAATAGTTACAAATAAAAATATAAAAAATATATAAACACAATGTATCAATGCGACAGCTGTACAGTTTTGCAAGTGCTAAAAATGGACCAGGGAATGTGCAAACATGTGAGAGAATATGTGCAGTGACATTATAATCCAAAAGGTGTTGGTAAAGGCACAGTTGGAAACTTTAATAAAAGGTGCCAACTGAACCTTTTATGTAATGAATTGTGATGAAAAAGAGACTTTACATTAATGTAGCGTGCAATGTGAATTGGGTGTGATGAGAGTTAGTGTCAGGGTTCGCTCTATTGAATACATCATGCTATGAATTCATAAATGACTGGCATATTTTAGCTTTGTGTGTGTGTGTGCAGTGTGTGAGCCCTACAGGTGCCCTCAGCTCAGTTGTCCTGTTGGGATGTCGGTGGTGTCTGGGTCCAGTCCGAGTCGCTGCTGTCCTAACCAAACATGCGGTACGACTATTAAAAACCTCCCACAGAAAAAATTGCCACCTGCATTTTAAATAGTTTTGATTTTACCTTGACTTGGGACATTGTACATGACAGTGTAGAATTTGGTTTAAAGCTGTACAGTCTGAAATGTAAAGATAATGACCAGTCACACTTTTTATTTTCAGAGTGCTCCTGCGATAAGATGACCTCGCCAAAATGTGGCCTGGTAAGTCATTACTTATTTATTAAGTGTGTTTAGGACATGTGATGATGTATATTATATACTATCTATTTATAACTGTATTTACAGTTTGTATTCTCACGTACTCTCGTATTTGTTTGTGCCATTTCTGAAGTAATTTCTGTTCATCTGTGTCCTTGATTCCATGTGTGTTATATTCTATGTGAATTGTGAACCCAGTTTGGTCACTTTGTGTTCTGCAGGGAGAGGCCGCCCAACTGGACCGGGCCTTCCTATCTGACCCACAGAACCGGTGCGCCTGCAAAAGATATAAGTGTGGTAAGAACAGCAAATTCATTCGATAGAGAATCAAAAATATATTTTTCCAAAAGCAAGGAAATGTATTGCAATTTAGAAATGTTAAAAGCACTAAAATAATTAACATGAAGAAAAGTACAAAAAGTTAAAAACGTTTTAATTATTGATTATATTAATTGACATCTAACATTGAGACATTGACCGCTGACCTTTGCCATTATTGTGTGTGTGTTCAGTGCGAGAGGCGGTGTGTGTGTTTGGGGAGCGTGGCGTCCTGAGACCGGGTCAGACTCTGGTGGATCACCAGGACGACGGCCTGTGTCACAGCAGGACGTGCAGCCGGAGCCTGGACCCGGCGAGCGGCTTCCACCTGCTGCGCTCCAGCAGCCTCAACTGCTCCGCCCACTGCCAGCCAGTAAGAACACAATCACGCACAACAAACCTACAGTACACACATACAAAGTACATACAAAGTAATATGGATTCATAATAGAATTATTATACAAAATATTTTTAAATAAAAACATTTTTCATATCATTCACTGAAAGGGACAAACATGTCGGCATAACAAATATCTGTGAATCTGGACAGCGGCACTCATTACAGTGGGAGAGAAACACACATACTCACATATCTATATGTAAATAAACACATATCTTCATATACAGTATAATCTCTTATTTTCTTGCTGATTTTCTTTTCTTTTCATCGTTTCACAAAACGTTGTGTTCTTCAGAATCAGATTTACATTCCTCCAAAGGACCAGACGACGTGCTGCGGTGTTTGTAAGAATATTTCCTGCATCTACGCACACGAGAACGGCACAACAGTTCTCTATAAGGTAGGAAGTCGACTATTATACAATAATTGTATATTACTAATAAACACTACTTCTGAGTATTTTCTTAAATAATCTGTTATTTAAACCAAGTAACTGAACCAACGTGAGTTCTGTACAAAGGACGACTTGGGAACATTTTGAATACCAGATCTACTTAATAGCTTTCTTCTGGAGCTTTCAATCGAGTCACAGTCTTGATCAGCAGGTAGTTTCATCAGTCATTATATCGAGACCCAAGCCAAGTGCTGAACAGTATGTGACCACATGTAATTCCCTGTACTGTATAAAACAGGGAATCTCTATGATAACTGTGCAAACTATCTGCTGATAAAACCATAATGTTTTTGAAAGAAAATGGTGTATCTTTCAATTTAAAATGAACATTACCACCATTTGTTTTGAACGATGACCTTGTCTCAACAGGTCTTAGACAATCCTGAAACGCAGTCTCATTCCGTAGTCGAAGTCACGTTATCTATTATTATTAGTAGTATTTATACTGTACACCTAAGGTAATGTTGTTGATGATATCGGTGTGTTTTCAGCCAGGGAAGTCCTGGGTATCAAACTGCATGAAGTTTGACTGCACAGATACTCTGTCTGGACCCACGCTGATCTCCTATTCCTTCAGCTGCCCACCTTTCAACGAAACAGAGTGTATGAAGGTCAGCTTGAGGCATCACACACATACACACAAAGGAATGAGTGTGATATTAACATAAAACTGGCAAAACTATATTTTTTACATATTTATTGTGTGTAATGGGGTAATAAGGAGGGACAAAGAGTGACAGTTCTTAGGTCCTTTCAGGCATGCGGGAGTGAGTGATAGAGAAACTCCCTCTGGAGGTAACTTTGGGATTTTAGCCTTTGCAGACCATTTACATGCACAAACAAATATTATTTTCATTTCCCTTTATTTGTTCCAATCAAGGTAGATAATTCATACAACATCTGTACACTTAGCGCAGTTTGGACCATGATGTAAAGGAGCAGTGAGAGGTAACTCTTATGCCTGCTCTTTACTAACACACAATATAACAGGAAAACTCAAAAATGCACAATTGGGCCCTTAACTTAAGCAAGTTTTTGTAGTGTAACTTGAAAAAGTGTGAGAACCACTGTTCTTAAAGCTTTTTCAGGTGATAAATACACAACACCTCAAATTAGAGTCATCAATGATTTCAGTCAAAGAATATCAACTTTCAAACAACAAACTCTGATAAAAAGGCATAAGGTTTCTCACAGAAAAAACGTTTTGTCAAATTATTCCTTATCATGTTTACTCTCATCTGCACTCAGATCGGTGGAACGGTCATAAGTTACATGGACGGATGCTGCAAAACATGTGAGTATCTGATCTGAGCATAGCAGCAGTTGTGTAGTTAGTGTAGAGCTGTAGGCTGCAGCTGACACTGAAGAGCGCCTCCACCTGCCGCTCAACATGTTTCCAACATGTTTGCCCTTCAGTTTGTCCATTTCATTCCAGAATATTCAATCACAGTTTCTGAATTGGATCCTAGCTGTAACATTTTGTTTGCTGTTTATTCAGGTTAGTCAATGTCAGTGTGCTTTTCAGTGATTTCGGAAAAAATGACAATGGATATCTTTTTCAAAGTGCCAAAAGATAGATGTATGAGTCACTGAAAAACATCTGATCAAATGCAAGTGGGTTTGTGGTTTATGTGCTGCAGCTTACCCTCATGTACCAATCCCACCAGGTACTGGATTCTCTCTGTTCCCTTTCCCCGTTAGCCCCCTGACTCCCACAGTTAACACAAACTGTGAACGAGGTACCAAAACAACAAGGCTTGTCAGTGCCATTGTTGATATTCAACAATGTACTCCCTCCAACAAAAAAAAATGACATTATGATAAAACACACAGGAAGTCTTACTGCAACCTACCAGAATCGTCCTCTCAAGTGCTGTCTCATTTCAGGGTCTGAGTGAAACAAAAATCAGTAGAATAAAGCCAAAACAGGGTAACAAAATGAAAAAATATATGTTTAAATCAATCATGGTGCAAATGTTGCATTAACCTTGCTTCATTAAGCAGTTACATTCTCTTTCTCTTTTAGGGATTTACCTTTTTAAAATCTTAAAACAAAGGAATTAAAGGTGATTTATCACCTCAAAAAGGAGGCGAGGACACAATCCTTCATATGGGCCAAAAATGATGGCACACTTGAGAGGACAGTCACAATTAATTATTTACCCCCGTCCATCCCTGTGGATCACGTACATGTACGAGAGCTAAACTCTTTCCCAATTTAGCACTGTCTGGGCAGTGCATTGTTGATTGCCAACAATGTACTGTTGGTAGTGGCCCAGTAGTCGGGCTTAGACGTCTGCATGTGTGAGTAGATACTGATGTGGGTTGGTGACGGGGCCTGTGTTTCATGTAACCGCTGTAGAAGATCTGCTTGCTGCTGCACCACGGCTGCTGTGCTGCTCCGCCACCAGGGGGCGCTGTGTGGTAAACTGAAGCTGCTATGTGATGCATCCTTATTGTCAAAGTATCATCAGTGCAAACACTGAAACAAACAATCGACTGTATATTTAACAACGCTAACTTATTCCCCTTATTCTTCGCTGGCTCTAGGCATTTCCACATCGCCATATAATGTGTTGATACTTGCGCTTAAAGTGTATTTGCTATTACTTTGCATAGCGTCGCCATCTTTATCAGCCAATACTTGGCAAATAAACAGTTTTTAAGCTTTTGAAGAAGAAGAAGAAGAAGAAGAAGAAGAAGAAGAAGAAGAAGAAGAAGAAGAAGAAGAAGAAGAAGAAGAAGAAGAAGAAGAAGAAGAAGAAGAAGAAGAAGAAGAAGAAGAAGAGGGATGGTCACACATGCAGAGCACACAGCAAACCAGTAGCGTAGGCAGAAATGTACTTTAGGACGGGCCTGTATAAAATAGGTTGGGCCAGCTTTTTCCAGAGGGAAAAATGACTTTAAAGTAGGCCTGGCCTATAATAATAATATATAATAATGCCCATTGCCAAGCATCGTTGTATAATTTCCCTCTGAATAATGGTCGAAGACTTGACTGATGATATGAATTCATTGAAATCTCCAATATCAACGTAAGAGCTATAAAGACACAAAAATAACAAATACATTTAGGTTCCATCCGTATTAGAATCACTTTAGCATACTACCAAAAGTTAACTGTAAACAGACAGCAAAGCTACAAAACAGCATATAAACGAATTAGGACCCAACCTACATGTTTATATTATAGTTAATACCAACCTTGTGCCTCTTCGGGGGGTGCTAAACTTAAACATAAACTTTATCCTTTACTTTCTCCGTCTTTATATGTAGATTAATCTCCACTCCTTTTCTCCGTCACGTTGTTTCCATAGCAACAACAACTTCCTGTCAACAGCGTAAACTCGCCTTCAAAATAAAAGCATCTAAATAACACAGGAAGTTAACCTAAATTACATTTAAGACATATGTACAACTGCAACGAACAACACAACAAAACAATGTCATATAATTTTCAGTTTCACAGAACACAAATTGGGTTATTTACAATCGTTAGGTAACTCTTTTATTGCACTAGGTAACAGCAACAATAGGTTGTAGCATTCAAACCTGCTCATGGACTTGCAGTGGTCCTCACTTTTTTACATCTCTCCAACGAGTTACGCAGGTGCTTCCAGTCTACATATCCATCCCTCGTAAATGCACCTTCAGCTCCTGGGCTGGGGAAATGTCTGCACATTTTGCAGAAAAGCACGTCCCTGCAGGCAGCTCTCTGCCTCTCTCACCTTACTATGGCGCGCGCCGGAACCAACAACCAGTTTTTACCGTAAATGAGTTCGGTTCAGAGGATAAAACACATACAACATTAATTCAACTCGATATTTGTTCACTTGAATTTCACTTTGAATGCTTGGATATTCTCAATGGGTGAATACATTTTTTTTTAAAAGTACACCGAAGCTTTCTCAGGGTGGGCCAATGAGTAAACTGGGTGGGCCTGGCCCTATGGTGGCTATGCCACTGCAGCAAACACAGTGACATTTTTTCTCTGCTTTTAACCCATCCCACTACCAGGAGTCTAGTACTAGGAGCAGTGGGCAGCAATTGTACAGCGCCTGGGGACCAATGGGAGTGGCGGGGAAGGGGGATGTCTGGTGCCTTGCTCAAGGGTACCACGGCAGGGCAGGAGGTGAACTGGTACCTCTCCAAGTAGCAGTCCTCACTCCATATTTAGGTCTGGTCGAGGACTTGAACCGGCGACCCTACGGCTCACAGTCCAAGACCCTACTGACTGAGCCACTGACTGTTATTAAGTTTTTTAGGCAAGAAACTAACTATTTTGATGTGATTCCTTTTTATCCAAAAACGTATATTTGAGAATTTCGATGTTTGGAGCTGTGAGGAGCTGTTGGCTGTATGAGATTGCTTTAAAGAAGAAGCACGTCAACAATGTATTCGTAAAAACTCTCACGTCCTGAACGGTAGACACAGGTCTGCACTACCCATAAGGTGTTTAATAACTCCAATTTATATTGAGCCAACAATTTGGTGATAGCTAGCTAGATAGCTAACATTTCGCTAGCTAGATTGTTATATGGATAGCTAATGTAAGCTAGCTAACTCAGTAGATGACGATTGTTAGATAGCTTTATTTACACATGGATGGATGGATAGATAGATAGATCAATCAATCAATCAATCAATCAATCAATGTTTATTTATATAGCCCAATATCACAAATGTTACATTTGTCTCAGTGGACTTCACAGTTTGTACAGAATATCAGTATGGCAATACGACACCCTCTGTCCTTAGACCCTCACATCGTACAAGGAAAAACTTCCGGAGAAAACCCACAGTTTAAAGGGAAAAATGGGAGAAACCTCAGGGAGAGCAACAGAGGAGGGATCCCTCTACCAGGACGGACAGACGTGCAATAGATGCTGTGTGTACATTTAAAAGATAATACATTTACAACATAGGTAGTCCAAATGTTTGGAAATGCATGTGTCTATAATAAGAAGATTAATTCACGAGGATATCCATCCAGGACTTATGATCAAGGACCACAGCAACAGGCACAGCCACGACTCAAGATCCAGGGCTCGCGATCCAGGACTCAGGACCACAGCAACAGGATCAGCCACGACTCAGGATCCCAGCGTATATAGACACCAAAAAGAAATTTGGGGAAGCTGGGTTAATCGGAACATGAGAGTACACAGGTACAGACAGAGAGAAGGAAGAAGTAAGGTGTCCCCCAACAATCTAAGCCTATAGCAGCAAAACTAGGGGCTGAATCTAATCAGCCCTAACTATAAGCTTTATCAAAAAGGAAGGTCTTAAGCGCACTCTTAAAAACGGATAGGGTGTCTGCCGCCCGAACACAAACTGGAAGCTGATTACACAAATGTGGAGCTTGATAAGAAAAGGCTCTGGCTCCCATTGTACTTTTAGAGACTCTAGGAACAACCAACAACCCTGCATTCTTGGAATGCAATGCCCTCTAAGGACAGTAGGGTATAATGAGTTATTTAAGGTAAGATGGCGCCTGCCCATTAAGGGCTTTGTAGGCGAGAAGAAGAATTTTAAATTCTATCCTGTGTTCTATAGGGAGCCAGTGTAAGGCAGCCAGAACAGGAGTAATGTGGTCCCTTTTCCGAACTCTAGTTAGTACACGTGCTGCAGCATTTTGAATCAGTTGAAGCGACTTAACTGACTTCTTGGTACACCCTGATAATAAAGAGTTACAATAATCCAGCCTTGAAGTAACAAATGCATGGACTAGTTTCTCTGCATCGTTTTGAAGCAAGATATGCCTGATTTTTGCAATGTTACGTAGATGGAAGTAGACGGTCCTTGAAATTGATTTTATGTGGGCGTTTAAGGATAAATTCTGATCAAATATAAAACCAAGATTCCTTACAGTCTCACTGGAGGCCAAATTAATGCCATCCATAGTTAGTATATCTTTAGATCATTTGTTTCGTAGATTCTTTGGGCCGAGTACAATAACTTCAGTTTTGGCCGTGTTTAACATCAAAAAGTTTAAAGTCATCCACGTTTTTGAGGCAGTCTTGAATTTTATTTAGATGATTAATTTCATCAGGCTTGATTGATAAGTATAGTTGAGTATCATCCACATAACGATGAAAATTTACAGAATGATTCCTTATAATATTGCCTTACGGAAGCATATATAATGTGAACAAAATAGGTCCAAGCACTGAGCCCTGTGGCACTCCATGGCTAACTTTGGTTTGCATGAAAGATTCATCGTTGACACATACAAAACTGAGAGCCAGAGTTGGGTGTCACGCGTTACTGTAATAATATTACTTTTGTCAGTAACACAGTAGTGTAACGCGTTGTATAGCTTTTATAAAATCAGTCATAATCACACTGACAGACAAGAGGGGTTTCCGCCGCAGGTTTATATGTGCGTAATCTGCGCGACTTGCGCGTCCACATCTCCGCGTGCAGTTGCTGCATAAACATGGCTGAGTCAGCGATAACTTTCGAGGGGTGGAGGTATGCCCATTATTTTGAGTTTGTCCGAAGAATAGACAGGAATGTGACGGTGAGGTGCAAACTGTGTCGAGGCCAGAAGCTGTTATCCACTGCTGTAAACACCACGTCAAACCTCAACAAACACCTGCAAAGAACACATGCTAAGGTGAAGCTAATAGCTAAGGACCCCCGAACCCAGAGTGAGGATGTTGTGAGTGCGCCGCCGCCGACTCCGAAGCAGCGAAAATTTGAATTTTGAGGACCGGTAACCAAAGCAGAGATGGACAGGCTTGTAGCATCCTTGATAGTAGAGGAAATGTTGCCCATTTGCACAGTGGAATCACCATCGTTCAGAGATATACTGCGCAAAATACAGATAGCAGGAGACAGAGGACAGCCATGGTCAGATAGGAAAACATTCATTCAGGAGCTATCTGGATCAGTCTTATGCGACAATGGAAACTGAACTAAAGAGAACATTTGAAACTTTAGCAGTCTGCGTGATCTGCCTGTAGGGAGGGGCGGGCCGGCCCTGCGTGTAAAGTAACGAGTAAAGTAACGAGTTATGTAGAGTAACGAAGTAGTGTAATATATTACTTTTTTAAAAAAAAAAGTAATATATTACTTTTTTTTAGTAACGACCTCATCTCTGCTGAGAGCGTTCAGATAGATAGGACCTAAACCAGCCTAAAGCAGTTCCCTTTATGCCAACTAAGTGCTCTAGTCTTTGCAATAGGATATCATGATCGATAGTATCAAATGCAGCACTGAGATCGAGCAAAACAAGAATAGAGACAAGTCCCTTGTCAGAGGCTATTAGAATGTCATTTGTGACTTTAACCAGAGCTGTCTCTGCGCTATGATGTGTTCTAAAGCCAGACTGAAAATCTTCAAATAAATCATTGTTTTTTAAGTAATCAGCTGTTTTGCGACCGCTTTCTCAAGAATTTCTTTAGAGGAACGGGAGATTAGAAATAGGTCTATAGTTGGCTAAAACCTCTGGATCAAGGTTTTGCTTTTTAAGAAGCGGTTTTATCACTGCTACTTTCAATGATTGTGGAACATAGCCTGATAATAAAGAAATATTCATAATATTTAATAAAGAAGTGCTAATTAATGGAAAAACTTCCTTTAACAGCTTAGTTGGAATTGGGTCTAACATACATGTTGATGGTTTAGAAGAGAGAATCATTGAATTTAATTGTTCAAGGTTTATGGCTGAAAAGCATTCTAGTTTACTATCTAGTGTAATATTAGAACTTACGTTTCCGGGAGCTGTTGATAACACTATACTGGTCAAAGGCAAGAGGTCATTAACTTTGTTTCTATGAATAACAATTTTATCGTTAAAAAAGCACATAAAATCATTACTACCGAGTGCTATGGGAATAGAAGGCTCAATCGAGCTCTGGCTCTCTGTCAGCCTGGCTACAGTGCTGAAAAGAAATCTTGCATTATTCTTATTCTCATCTATTAATGAAGAGTAGTAGGCTGCTCTCGCTTTACGCAGTGCTTTCTTATATTCATTGAGAGTAATATGCCAAATTAAACGAGATTCTTCAAGTTTAGTGGAATGCCATATCCTTTTCAAGTTGTCAAGTTGTCTCGACTTTTCCATCTATAGATGGATAGATATTTAGATAGCCAGCGTGTTAGATAGATAACAAGCTTGTTAGATAGAGAGCCAACATAGTAAATAGTTAACGTTTGCTGGCTAATTGAGTTTGGTCTCTAAGTTAACTTTTTTTTGAATACATTTCTTTGACTATGACAGTGAGAGAGAGTAATGATAAATTGTTGACATCATCTTTAGTATGCAGGCAGGCCGACCGGCAGATATTTGTTGTTACTTTTCGTAGTTCCTCATAGCATGGTCCATATACACCACAAGACACTACAGAGTTATTACAAACAAATTTCCTCATTCAAGATTTTCGGATTTGTCATCCTGCCACTCAATGCTGGTAAGGCTAAACCGGAAGAACTAAGATATAAGCGTTTAACCAGAAATAGGAAAAGGGGCGGCTACATTGGGTGAATTGATGAGCCAAATGGAAGTTACTTTCAATTTAAAGTTGTAACAAAAAAGACAAAATGACACACGGCTGCATTTTTTTTAATGCACAAAAAACAGTAGGCCTATAATTCATTTAAATTATTTACACATTTCTAAAGATTTATGAAAATATCGTGTGTGCGTGTGTACCCGGTAAATGATCTAACCATCACTTTATATTTATTTTTTCGACATTTGAGTTTGTTCTAATTTCAAAGAAGCTTAAATTAGTCTTTACTCACTGACTGGAACGTTCTCCTTCGTTGCTTTCATGAAGCTCAATGGATTTATTTAGGTCATAGCAAACTTACCCATCCACTAAAACAGCTTGACAGCTTGTGCATGATCCTTTTTCATCTCTGACCTTCTCTTCTCCTTCCTGGTGTTTTGCTGTGTCTCTACATGCAGAAGTTCAAATGATTAGTTTTGGGTATCACATGTCAATTTTATTTCAACCGATTTGGTTTGTTGTCATTTTAACAGGCAAAGAAGATGGGAAGTCGTGTCAGAAGGTGACGGTGAGGATGACAATCAGGAAAAACGACTGTCGCAGTAACAGGCCTGTAAGCTATGAGACTTTTGTGATGTGTTGCTAATTGTGTTTGTTTATTCTGAACAAAAGAAAAATAAATGTCTACATATAAAACACAGTAGCAATATTCAAACACAGGTAAAGAAAATAAGTGAGGGAGGGCATTATATCATCTGCATACTGTATGCGCTCAACTTGAAATTATGTGGAAGTCACAAAATGCAAACTGTCCTTTATATTCTTCTATCAGTGTAGTTCGACAGCATTTTGAAAGCATTTTTTTTAAATCAGTTTATTTTCATTGAAAATGTATGGCCATGGGCTATAGTTGGTTTTATAAATTATAAAATAAATTAAAGCTGAAAGCAGCAATGAACTGGCCCTCGCACAAAAGTACGTATTGCATGGAGTGTGATGCACTAAAAAGCAACCCATCCCATAAGAAATGTCTAACTTAGGCTTCCTTTGATAATTGCATTGTTTGTTCAAAAAATATCAGATGAACAAAATATGTTTAAAACATTTATCATGTCCTGTGTGTGTGCCACCAAATCAACCACATGTGGCATGTGGCAACTGGTCACCCTACCTTTGGTGTCCACTATGAGGCGCTAGATAACCCATGCTTAAAAATCTATTGAATTTCGGTGTAAACAGCTGTTTGCACAGAAACTTTGTCCAGTACTAACGTTAACTTTCTAGAAAAATGCTCCCCCCTTTTGTCTGAAACTAACTTTTTAGAAACAAAATAAATATATCAGTTTACTAAGTTCATCACTGCTAAAGCCATCAAGCAGCATGGGTGCCCGGGCCCTTATTAATAGAGCTCATAAATAGAAGTCACAGAAAAGTATAATATTCTCTCCTGCTCATGGAAATTTCACTTATTTTTGTATTTCTGTTTGCTCTCTTCCTGTTTTGTGTCAAAACAAAGTTAATATCTTTTCTAGATGTAGAATAAAAATCCCTGGCAGTGTATTAGAGATTTTTCATTTCCTGTACATACTGTCGATAACATCATTTATGAATACCAAAATAAAACAAGAACAAATTAAGAAGATTCTGAGAGCAATACATCATCTACATACACACTTAACTTAAAAGGATACCCATGAAGATAACAATGTGGCAGAATCTTCCTTTAGCATTAATCTGAGCAGTTTGGGCTTCATTTGCCAGAATAATAAGTGAAGTTGGCAACTCCGCCTCACCTGTAGCACACATTTTAGTTTTGGTTTGTTTGAACTGTGCTTCGTTAAATACTGAGTGTGCTTGCTGTTATTGCAGCCCTGCTTCCTTTTCACTGACTCTCTGTGTCCTGCAGGTGAACATCGTGTCATGTGATGGGAAGTGTCCGTCCGCCAGCATCTACAACTACAACATCAACACGTACGCTCGCTTCTGTAAGTGCTGCAGAGAGACGGGGCTGCAGCGGCGCTCCGTGCAGCTCTACTGCAGCGGCAACGCCACCTGGGTCAGCTACACCATCCAGGAGCCCACCGACTGCTCCTGCCAGTGGTCCTAAACACACACACTGCACCGACACACACACAGATGGTGTTTAGATCTACATCCTCTTAAACCACAAAACGATGAAGAGGAAGATGAAAGTTCAGCATTGTTGCTTTAGGATGTTGCGAGAGTGGAATACTGAGCTGGGATTGGCTGGACTTCATGACTGACGCTCTTGCTCTCCAGTTAGTTGTTCTGCTGCCTCTGCTGGCAGAGAGGTGGTACTGCAGGCCAGCTGCAGACAGGGCCCTAAAGGTGACCTTTGATATTTACCTTTCAAGGGAAGTAAAACAAGCCTTCATATGACTATTTTGAGGATTTTAATTGATCAACATTTAAAAAAAAAAAAAGGTTTAAGTTAATTTACTGTGCAGCTTAAATGTTCCTTTAAGTTAATTGTAAAATATGAGCAGCAGACTGGTGGCATGTGATTATAATAACACATTTCCCATCATTCCTTCCCTTCCTTCTATTTTGTATTAAACAAAAAGCTGCCTTTCTCAGTTAAGCCTATGTGCTTTAATATATCAAATTAAACGAGATAAGAAGTAATGCAAATTATTTAAGAGGAAGTCACAAAACACTTGGTAGTTACGGCATTTTTTTAATCATCAGACACATTGTCCCTATTTTGATATCTAATTGATATCAAAATAATATTTGAACACCTCTGCATGGTCCCAAATCCCCCACTGCACAGCTGCACTGCCACCTCCCTGCCAGACTGCAGAGAAAGGTCAAAGTTAAGCAATGTGAAAAGTAAGTTGAATTTTGTTTTGAAGGGTGAGCCCCTGTTTCTGCTCATAACCTAAGAGTGCTCCTGTGCTTCCATGACTTAAAAGTAGAGAGAGAGAGATTCATATTTTACCCAGAATTCCTCATGTTGTGTTTTGTTTTTTGTAAATATCTTTACTTTTTTTAATGATTTGCAATACCAAATTCTTATATATATATATACAGTATATCAATTTTAGAAAAAGCAACTATCAACTGTATATTTAGTGATTTTAAATGTACTTTATATAATCAACACTAGTGAGGTGTTTAACTGATTTAAACCCAACTGTATGTGGAGCACTTTATTTATTTATTGGAGTTTGATAGAGCACAAACGTTGTCATTTTTATGGACAAATACAGAGAGAGAAGAGAAGCATTAGGACTAACTGAGAACATCCAGCCAGACATGTTGCAACATTTGATGTGGTTGTATTCCTTCCTTACAGAAGAGGGCTTGATATTGCAATATAAAGGTTTCTCTCTGGACTAAATTCAGATCAAACAGACCCTCCTGGATAGTCGAGGATTTGTATCATACGAATGTACATTTGCGTTTTCAATAAATATTTCTTTTGGAAAAATAGTTTACTCTGTTTATTAAAAAAGGACAGTGTGCAGTAGAGATGATGTTGTTTCTATTCATGTCATAATGTTGTTACTGTACATAATGAACACATTTTCACTTTTTATTCTTTTGGCTTAAGATTAATTAAAGGGGACCAATTATACACATTTTCACATTTCATATTTGTATTCAGTATCTCTACTGGGACATGTCTCCATGCTTTAAAGGTGGGGTAGGTAAGTTTGAGAAACCGGCTCAAGATACACTTTTTGTTATATTCCATGGAATGCTCTTAACATCCAGATAGCAATGAATATCTTAAGTCCTTTGACAAAAAATCCATAATAAAATGTCATCTGTGGAAGCCGTAGTACTGTAAAAAGCACGATCAATCATTTTAGCCGGCCCGGCTAAAATAACTGGATGGCCTACCTGCCTGTCAGCCTTCCATCTGTGCACAAACTTATCTCGTGCCCTCATTGGTCATGTGCGCGTTCGTGTGTGTTGGAGGAGGGGCTCTGTGAGGAAGTGGCAGATTTTTTCCGGCTGTGTATTTTCAAAGTCTAGCGCACTCGAGCTGGTTTCTCCAAAATTATCTACCCTACCTTTATTGTTCAAAAAGCTCTTTATTTTTCTCATACTGCCTGTGCTGCAGGACCTTATTTCACCCTCTGTCTGAAACCAGAGCCCAGTCTGCTCTGATTGGTTAGATGGCTCTGTTGTGATTGTTCAAACCGCTTAGAGATGTCTCGACCCTTAGCCCCTTAGGAGATTTCACGTACAATGTGTTGGAGCGCTTGCCAATAGAGTGGTGCAGTGACGAGTCCTAAAACCCGGAAGTGAGTTAGCATTTTACCACTACCGGTTCCCTCGTCTCAGAGTCAATGGGATTTCTCCATAGGATTTTGGAAAATAGCTCGAAATAAGGTCTGTGGTTGACAGAAATGTAAAGGTCCCATGTCATGGCCATTTCTACTGATCATAATTCCATTAGCACCCCCTCCCCCCCAGCGCGTCACAGTTTTTCACCGCTGAGAGTGTGTGTGTGTGTGTGTGTGTGTATGTGTGTGTGTGTGTGTGTGTGTGTGTGTGTGTGTGTGTGTGTGTGGAGCTCCACGGATTGGTCCATTTGGGTATGGTAGGGTGTACTTTGAGGGTTTGTGACTTTGCAGACCGTTTACATGCAGAACAACCTTCATAACACACAAGGGGATGGGTAATAACCGGAAGCATGACATGGGACCTTTAAGAGACAGATCACGTTTTGTTCTACGACATTAAATACATCAGCAGTGACCCCACTGGTGATTCTTGAAGAGTTTACGTGTCTGAAAAACGATGGTTGTTAACAAGTGGCTGAATAGGACTACACTAAGTTGTCCAGGCCGTTGTACGTCATTACACCGAACACGTAAACACTCCCGGTATGTTTGTTTGCCCGTGTTCTGCTTGAAAGCAAGTACCTGCCTCCTGCAAACTGCTAAAACAAAAGCTTCAACTTGTACAATTTTAAATCTGTATTTTTTAATATGGATCTTAAGTCGGCGTGATGTTGAAGCAGCGACCCTGCTGTAGTTTGTTTATAGCAGAACTTTAGCATTTTGCTTCTGGCGATTAGATTTATGATTATAAAACTATAAAAGTAGGGTAGACATGTGGATATTATCCGGCTGAACAAAACGTGCATTGATCAAACAGGTTCATTTTCCACAGACCTTATTTCGAGCTATTTTCCAAAATCCTATGGAGAAATCCCATTGCTTTTTTGTCGAGGGAACCCGAGCGCAGCTTACTTCCGGGTAAATACGTCATCCCTGCACCACTCCATAGAAGCCCGAGTGTTACATAGTGATGTCAAACCTAAATAACACTACAGGAAATAAAACACCCTAAAAAGCAGAGTAGGGCCCCTTTTAACAGGATAGGTGAAGTTTTATGTAGTCGGGTTGTTTGGCGTGTTTTACCTACAGTTTGGAGAACTGGGGTTACGTACTGTAACCCAGCTTCTATGAGTATAGGCGCAGTCCTCTAAGGCTATCGCTATTGGGTAATCCCACTGCACGTGTGCAGCACTGACAGACTTAATCCACGCCCACCTATGACGTGGGCCCCACCTACGGACTCACTTCCGTATAAATAGGAAGTAGTCCCTACAATCTGCTCCCACACAAACAGATTTTCTTCAGCTATTCACGGAGTCCGTGGGGCCCGAACCTTAGAGGGCTGCGCCTATACTCATAGAAGCTGGGTTACAGTACGTAACCCCAGTTCTATTTCGTATAAGGCTTCACCCTCTAAGGCTTTCGCTATTGGGTTAAGGGCGAAGCAGGATGTAGTCCACGCCCCACTGGTCCGTCCGTTACCAGAAGCACAGAAACACACCTACTCAATTAATAACCCCTGTCCATTTCGCCATGCGTAAATGGAGCATCACATTCCCAGGGAATATAGCATTTAAAAAACGAATATTCTCCATACGGAAAAGAAGGTAGGCTAAATAGGCTACCTGTCGTTTATAAAAAGTAGAGACCAAAGTCCCACTTGTTAAAACGATCAAAGAGGGGGAAAAGGGCAGCTCTCTAAGTGCCGACAGGCAGGAGAGAGGGCACGCAGTTGAGTCCCCGACATTACTCACTCTGACAGGACACTCAGTACTGAGTGTGTCAGAGAGAAATGGGAGACATCCCTCAAAATAAACACGAATAAAAGAACAGGGGGAAGACCAAGATGCAGCAGTGCAAATGTCTTCCACTGTCATTCCTCCGTGCAACGCCGTGGAGGAGGAAATTCCTCTGGTGCCGTGCGCTTTGATGTTCTCCGGGGGATCCAACCCAGAGGAAACATACGCCTGTGACACAGCCTCACACAGCCAGTGTGACAGGCGCTGTGCCGACAGAGGCTGCCCTCTGTAATGCACAAACAGACGAGCTGCATAAAGCAGCCGTGCGTGCAATATAGCATGACAGCGCGCGCACGGGACGGAGGAGATGAGATGTGGCTTCCTCCTCTGATGTGTGAGGAGGAGGAAAGAAGCCATCCAAAGGTATCACTCTCGATCTAAAAGAGCTTGTGATCACCTTTGGCATAAAAGCCGGGTTAGGGCGCAAAACAGCTGAACTGCCATCACCTTGGATCTGGAGACATGACGGAGCCACAGAGAGAGCAGACAAATCACTCACCCTTTTAGCTGATGTCAGAGCCAAGAGCAGAGCTACTTTGGCTGACAAGAACTTTAGGGGGACCCTGATCTAAAGTTTCAAATGGAGCTTTACTCAGTGTGCGTAACACTAAAGCCAAAAACCCATTGAGGCGCCAAAGCGCGTGACACATGTCTGAGTCTCTGTGCTCCCCGTAGAAAACGTTTTGTCAGCGGGTGACAAAACACCGTGCTGACCCCAAACCTACGTGGCAAGATGAAATGGCAGCAGCATATGTTTTTACCGTGCTATAAGCCAATTCCTGTCCAGCAACAGCTGGAGGAACGACAGCACGAGGCAGGGGGCCCAACGGGGTCCAGGCTTTTCCCCGCACACCACACGGAACGCTGTCCATTTGGCTGTGTAGGATGTGTGTTCAGCAGCTGCGCTGATCGAACACCTCCCTGGCGATTTATGTAGGCCGCCGCTGCTTTGTTGTCTGTTTGAATCAATATATGTTGATTGTACAGCAACGGGACGAAGTGCTGGAGCGCTTTCCACATGGAGAGTAATTCCAGCACGTTTATATGGAGAGACATGTGAGCCAGCCACTGTCCCCCCACTGCCTGCGACATGCACGTTCCTCAGCCTACGAGAGATTAGTCTGTGAACACTGCGGTGTGTGACGTCACTCTGCTCAGGGGCACCCCCACTGACAGGACGTGGAGATTTTTCCAGTAGGTCAAATCCAAAACCACGGAAGGAGGAATGTACACCATGCGTCTCCTCTGACGCACGGGGTCGATGCACAGGCGAATAAACCACCTCTGGAGTCTCACTATGAAGGAGACCCAGGGGAATCACCACGTGACCAGCTGATATCATGTCTAACAGCTGCATCACGGAGAGGGATGTCACCGCCGCGCGGGGTGTGACGCGCCGGAGATGAGCTGTCACTTTCTCCCCTCTCCGCTGTGAGAGTCGCGCTCTCATGCGGGCTGAGTTCAATTCCACTCCCAGTTAAAAAGATAACCTGGGAGGGACGAGGACAGCTCTTATTCCAGTTGATAATGAAACCCAGGCTTGACAGATGAGATACTAGCTGTATCGTCTGAAAAACCGCTTCCTCCCTGGAGCGAGCCAGCCACAGCCGGTCGTCCAGGTAAAATAACACTCTCATCCCCATTCTGAGTGCTCCAACCGTCTCCACCCACTTTGAAAAAGTGCGTAGAGCCAGGAATGAGAAACGCAGGAAACTGCTGTGTTTCGGGATGATGGTTATGTGGAGGAATGCATCCTTCAGGATTATGGATGTGAACCAGTCTCCCTGGTGAACACACTCCAGCACCTGTTTGATCGTCAGCATGGGAAAAGGCCATTCCCTTGTTGGACACTGACAGATCGAGGATGGGTCTCATTCCCCCCGCCCCGTCTCCTTCGGGACCAGAAAATACCGGGAGTAAAAAACCCTGATTTTCTTCCCCATGAGGAACCCTGGAAAAAAGCTTTCTTTTAACAAGAGTTCCTGCCGCTCTGCACGGAACGTGAGACACTGTTCCCGGGATGACAGGGTTCCCTGTATCCCGAAGAACTGCGTGGGGGAGAGGCGAACTGCAGAGACTATCCTCTGCCCATCCGCCTGCTCATCCATCTGTCCATCAGACACACGTGCCGCCACCCTGAGTACCATACAGTACTCTGATAGCGCCGGGTGTACATTCTCTGGATGTGCTGTGGTTGGTGGCAAACCATGCCAGAGCCCTCCACACGCTGCATTTCACACAGGCTCTCAATATGTCGCCGTTTAGGAGAAGACTCGTAAACCGCGCGTTCACGCTCAACATCACTAAGGGATGAGCGGAGGTGTGTGCAGTGCTGTCCACACAATGCGTAATAATGGCCCTCCGTGGGCTTATTA